TAAAACAAGATGCGGTCAATAGTTTTCGAGTTATAGTCGATTCAATTTTCGACGATTTTTTCGCCTTTTTTGGAGTTTCGGCCTTCATATCACCCTTAAGCAGCGCCGCTACTGACTTTAAACAATTTTTATCTTAAAAACGGTAAGAGATGGAACAAAAGAGCATAGGACCAAAGTTGTAGCGCTCGTCGATCTAAAGAAGCCGCCATAAAATGTTCGGAAATACGAAAACAAAATTTTGAATTTTAAACAATTTTTATCTTAAAAATTGGTAAGGGATGGAGCAAAAGTCCATAGGACCAAAGTTTTGGCGCTCATCGAGATCTAACAGATAGGTGTATCAAAAGTTCGAAAATTGTCAAGTCTTTTGGATTTTTAAAAATTCATAAATCCAAAACAGACGTAGTTGACATCCACTTTGTCAGGGTTTCTCTCTGCTACACGCATTTACTTTGAATTAGATTTCGTTTTTTACTCATAAATTTAAAAATAATAAAACAGGAAAGGTGAGGAAAGAGAGAACAACGGTCACCTTGTTTTTACAAAGTACATTATCTTCTTATTCTTCTTTCGCCTATATCTTTTTTTATCCAGCACATTGTGTGACGAAAAGAATATTAGACTATATGTATTTCCACCCTTCGATATAGGCATCGGTTCTCGTGTATAAATGTGCAACCTATCTCCATAAACTTATGCTATTTTAACGGTCGTCTTGTTCTTTAGCACAAAAAATCTGGCAACGAGACAGAACTTGGATTATATTCGATCGATTGAAACGAATTGCTGGCCTATGTAGGTATAGATCAGCTAAGTACGTAGTGTATGCAGCTAGGTATGTGTCAAGTATCCTTAAAAGGGTGTGTTTCTAATATCTGTTGCATACATGTAGTTGACATTAACATCAGTTTTTAAAAAACGATCGAGCCATGTAAAAAGCGGAATCGATATAGTAGTGATACAGCCAAAAATATTTCCTCTCGAGTATCTTTGTATAAAGATCTCACGCGAGCGACGTAAAGCGGAGAGATAATAGTAGTCGACCAATCGCAATGACTTGAAAGCCCTCCTCGACGACAGCCTCCGTCCCTCCTCTTTCTCGAGCAGGGCAGAGTACTTGCCGATCGCAACTAGTTACAGTCGTTGGTAAACATTGAAAGGTGATCGTCGAAAACAGAGATACCAAGAATCGACAGTTCTTCGACGAACAAAGGTATTGTAAATATCGCCAATCTCGATCAATTATCGTATTACTCGCGGCATATTGTTAATTAATTATTTTTATTATTATTTAATGCAACGTGACGTTTTTCTTTACAGAGATAGAGAAAGTGTTTACACCTCGTCAGCAAAACTTTACGCACGAAGAAAAGTTAAGACTGCTCATCCTCCTAAAGCGAGAGAAAACGCTTCGCCTGGGCCCGTACGTCGATTCTCGTAAAAAGGAGAAAGCGTGGAAAGTCTAGAAAACTTGTGCAAGAATTTAGAATGGGTAGCCCATAGCTCGACAGGTATGTAACTGTAAATATCGATTAAATTATACGTCGAAAGTAAATTATACTTTCTTTATACGCAGGCAGACAGAGCGATACAGACGTCATCGCGTAGACCAATTCATTAATAAAGAAATTTCAACAGTGGAGGAAATGTACAAGTAAGCGAAACAAGTGTCGAGTCAGAGGTCGTACGACATCCCAGTAAACAGCAAGTAACAGAGTAATACTCGTCACAGTGGTTGGTCAACACTCAAAGGTAATCGGCGAAACAAGCGATACCAAGAATCGACAAAGTTTTCCACGAACAAAGGTACTTAAATATCGCCAATCTCGATAAATTATCGTATTACTCGCGGCATATCGTTATTTTTATTATTATTATTGAACGCAAAGTGACGTTTTTCTTTTCAGAGATAGCGATAATGTCAGCTCGCCGAAGAAATTTTACACATGATGAAAAGATACAACTGCTCGTCCTCCTGAGGTAAGAGAAGACGCTTCGCGGCCCGAACATTGACTCTCGAATAAAGGAGATAGCGTGGCACAAGATCGCCAAAAATCTTTCACAGAGGCGTCGATAGCCTTAAAATTCTCTGGGAAAACCTGCGATCTGCTGCCCGTACATCGACAGGTATGTCACTGTAAATATCGATTACTTTGTACGCAGGCACACAGAGTGACGATGGTCGCGCGGACAAATACCTTGATGAGAAAGATGCAAAAGTGGCCGAAATCTTGTTCTTTAGCACGAAAAAATCTGGTAACGAAACAGAACTTGGATTATATTCGATCGATTGAAAGGAGCGACCTTTTGTATACTTTCCAAAAAAATTACTCACTCGTTGCTCGATATCGTGCGAACAAGACGGACGTTTCTTCTGCTGCTTTTATACATTTTACATTAAATACTATCTGAAATAAAGATATCGATCACTAAGAAAAAATTACGTTCTTTGTTTCTATCGCGAATTGAAACCAGTATAAAAAATATTCGTGAATAAATTGTCTCAAGTACGCTACTGTATAAAAAGGAGGTTTGTAATTTTTAATGATTTCAGTTCGCTTTCTTAATTAAAAGCGTAACTGTAATCCTTATCGTGTTGGTTTTATGGAACCATAATTCCAACTAAAATGGAAATTTTAGTTTTACACGCGAAAACCCGCATATAGTCGCACTTTTATCTTGGCTTAGTTAGTAATAGTCTCGTGATAGTTCAATTCAGCTGATGCAGTAACCACGTTGCTGGTTGTTCCTGCTTTTTCTTTTCCTGTTTCCTTCTCTGGACGCGGTTTTTCGTTCGATTGGGGCTCCAATCGACTCTGTCCGTTTGTCCCATCCTGGCCGACGTCGACAGCGCGTTATTCGTTCGTACGATCGCTTGTTGTCCCTCGTAGCCACTCGCAAAGGTGTAGTGTGGATGGTAGTACTGCTTCAGGCTCGACTCATCTCGAAAGTTCTGCATCGCGCACCACACGTGACACAATAAACATGGAAATCTCGACAGCCAATATTCAGTAAATTCGTTAGGAATCTCGCCGAGACTCTCCTGTGCTTTCGGGCTCAGTTCTCTGTAATGGTGTTTCTGAGAACATATCGACACGCGTTAATGACGAGTCGTTTCAAGTTCAATGATTGCGTCTATTTTTAATCTTGGTAGATTCAAAATAGATTAGACTTGTTGAATATAATAAAGGAGGATTCTGGAAATATTTTAAACAAATCTATCCAAGTAAAGAGTTGTTGGAAAAATAAAGAATCGCAAGTATCACTCGTTTAGCAAGGGGTTCATTTGATAAAAGAACCATGTTTTGCAGTTTAAGGACTCCAGGACAATTTTATAATTTCAAATCTCTTGAATATTATTTTCTTGATAGTGTACACTCGGAGTGTTGTATCGATAATTTTGTAAAAAGCGATCAAGTTTCTAGTATTTGAAACATTAAATCTGTTTAATTCTATGTATCTCTTTCCGTAAGTAAGAATAACAAACAGTTTCAGTAATCATCTTGTGATAATTTACGTTTGTATAATTGACTGTGCGATAAAGCGCATTGTACTCGCTAACCTTGTTTCGTAAAGCCCTGAGTAGATCTCTCACGCTCTCGCCTCGATAACTTCTGTATTTGCGCAAATCTGTCGCAACTTCGAGATCTATGTACAATCTCCAATCGTCCCCTGTCACGCGCTCGCCGCAAGTCTCCAATGCTATTAAAGCCGGACTGTTGGACTGGTCCTTTTCCACACGATCGCTAATATCCTGTCGCACAAATTACAATAGAGAAATGAAATGAAGGAAAGGCTCGCGTGATTTCTCCTCTCTGACACTTTCCTTTTCTCTTTCTTTCGAAAGAAAGAGGCGAACAAGCGATAATGAATATTTAAACAATTTTATTTTCTATATACCTGAAAGAAACCGAGAATCTCTGCTAAATTCCAAAAGAATGGATAATTACAGATTGCCGAAGCTGGCGGCCTCGCAGCAGGATTACCGCATATCATTGCCTTAATAAGTAATAACGCTAATTCTCTGTCACTCGGAGGTACTTTCTCGAGCGATGTCAGATTGCTCTCGCCACCTGCATATAAGAAATAACATGAATAGAGAACCGAAGGCAAGTTGAAAAGAGCTGCTTACTTACAGAGAATATTCGCTTGTCTTCGTAGCGGATCGCCGAAAGGATGCTTGCCGTTGGAAAGAACGTAATAAAAGACGCAGCCGAGCGAGAAAATGTCGACCGCGCATGTCGTCCTTTCTCCATTCAGCATCTCTGGCGCGATCCAACCATCGGTTCCAGTGATACCGGATCTCCGTGAAAATGATACGCGGCCGAGCTGAAGTTTTTTACATAATCCAAAATCCGATATCATGGCGCGTACCTCTCCGCGAGGTCCAGGAACAGAGAGCAAGACGTTGTGAGGCTTAATGTCCCTATGAACTACGTACGCAAATTGAAAATAAAATTGAAAATAAAACAATTGAAAATAAAAATCCAAGTTACTTAGTCTCCTCACCGATATCCAGGAAATGAAGATGCGCTAATCCGGATGTGGCCTGATGCAAGATATTTTTCACCGATATCTTTCCCCTGTCATATTTTCCCGTGACGTAATCCTGCAAAGTGGCCTCTGCTAGTTCCAAGGCGATGTATCTGAACATACGATCCTGTTCGGTACAAAAATATCTGACTACGTTGGCGTGTGCGTCCGATTCTCTCAAGAGGGCTACCTCCCGATCCGCTAACGTAAAGCAGTCTGGCAACAACCGCTTCACAGCTATAGCGCGACCGTCAAATTCACCTTTGTACACGAGTGTTCCGTCGCATCCTTTGCCAAGGACCTGTCTCGTGTCAAAAGTAACTTTTCCCACTTTAATGACCAAGCCATCCCCGATCTCTTGCTGGATAACGACAGAGTTGTTGCCCGATTTACCAGAATAATTCGTACGACTGCTCTCGCGTGAAGCCTTGAGAAACAAATCGATTTAATTTCATCAACTCTCGAACGTAACTTGTATTCATCTTCCAGCTCCGTCTTACCTGCGACATGTACTGGAATTGGTCCTTGCGTTGCTTATACAGATACCAAGCTACAATCGTGCCAATTGTCAAGATAATGGGAATGACGATCAGTTTTGCATCTACGTTTTCCTGTCTATTGAGCCACGTTTTGCTCGCGTTGTAAGTTTTCGATATAATTCTCTGCCAATTGCGATTCTCTTCCAATTGCATAGTACCGTTTGACGTGTCCGACTGTACGGCGACAGACAACTTGGTCCCAGTGACATTCAACGCGACAGTCTCCAAGATTATCGGATCGGATCGCCCGGTTATTTGGAGGAGCTGGCTTTGCGGCTTGTATTCCGTGGGTACCTCGTAATGGCCTAGCACGATGGCATTCTCAGTACGCCTGATGCTTTGATAACCGTCGTCGGTTACATCGATATTAGAAATAAAAACATGATCCCCTGGCAATGGTACATTCTTATCGTCCCTATAAGGATGCGACGTCAGCAATGGCCCCTCCAGCAACAAGTGGCCTATGTTGCTCGATATAATGGTCGTGTCGGAATCGACGAGCGATGGCAACGCATAGAGACCATATCGATGCTGTCCAATGTACAAAGTCGGGCTGGAGGAGTCGATACAATGGAGTCAAGATTATACAATAAAGAAGAGAGAAATCTCTGTGTAAAAACATTTCATTTGCAACTTACAACCATTCAATGTCGGTCGGCCTTGTCGCAAATTTTTCCAACAACGAATCGGCAATACTCTTGAAAGGAACTGTCAGCAGGCCATCTTTGGTCACGGTATACATGGCTATCACTGGACTTTTCAAATCCAACTTCCAAAGAATCCTACCTAATCTCCTGTCCACGGTCACTACACGACCCGTTGAACTTGTGGTGAAATGTACCAAATCGTAATTGTCTGTGACATCAGGTTTCATTTGCATAGCGGAATAATCGTAGAACGTTACGTTCCACTTTCTGTCCTTGCGTTTGCTATCGACCATGATAATATTGTATTCCGTGCGACCGACGAATATAGTATTCTGCATCTCCAAAGGACACGTATCCTTTACTTTGTAAAAACTTAGAAGCTGCTCCCTCTCACCAGTCGTCGGATCGATACTAAACCAGGTGTCGATCTTTCTGCCGGTGTACAATATACCATCGCTGCTTCTACACGGGCTGCTGGCGACTAGCTGAGGAATGGTAAACGGCAGCTTTTTCAATGCCTCCGATTCTCTGCCGAAGAGGTAGAGCGAACCATCCCTGGGATCCGGCAGAAACATGGGCCTGGAATAATCGAAAGCATCTTTCGTGCTTATGTATTTCATGCTTGTGCTCATAATTCTGTACGATACTGTTATACTTGACGTACATCTTGCTTCCCGCTAGATTAACAGGCACTTTGACTACGGGTTCTAAAACATACATATACGGATATATAATAAGAAATCTCTCAATTTCTCAATGTAATCCAGCAAATTGTTACCATCGTCTTGCTGCCATCGTATCTTTCCAGACCGCTTGTCAACACCCACGAGTAATCCTCCGAGCGTAGACAACAAGAGGAGAGTGTCGTCTTGTTCGGCTAGTTCGGTGTTGAAATTATCCACTGCTTGTTGTCCAATGACGAGTGCGAGCGTCATGAAAATAAGAGGTGTCATTGACCAAACTGTCATCCGCCTTCGCATCGTGAAGAATCTCTACGTAGCGTCGACCGTACGATACATAAGTTGGGTTCGATCCAGCGACACTTGTTACGCATTAGATTCTCGTAGCTTGTGACGTTGTCGTTGTCAACATAATTGCCACCCCAAGATCCACAATTCTTACATCGACGAATATATACGTTGGCAATCTCTTCATTTTTCAAAGTAGCTTGAAAGCAGAACACCAAGTAGCGTCAGTTATTTGCGCAGTTACCTATGTCGCGATAATCATACGTATGCAGATACAATCATGGTAAGATCGTTGCATCGCGAGTGTTTTCTGTGCCTCCACGAGATTCGATCGACAAAATCAGTTTGACGGAGGCGTATGTACACACGTAATGACACACACGATTCATATGGACACGTGTCTCATATATATCGTACATACGCACTACACAAACGCATCATCACGCATGCTACGTGATGCTACGTGATGCTACGTGATGCTACGGCAGCATTCGGCAAAACGATGGCAGGCATGCCACAACCGTCAAAAACCCCCCAAACGCAGCCATAGTAACAAATGGTAAATAACTAGTAAATTGGTTCAGTCATTGGCTATATCAAGTGCACCATGTAAACTAGGCCAACCTTAATTCCTTGGTAATTGCGCGTTACATGATATAAATAAATATTTCCATTGTTATTATCACGGTTTGTGTCACGACCATTGTCAAATTTATTAGAAACCTTTAGGTAAATGTTTAACCCGCTCGTTCAGATTTTTCTTCCAGAAGAACCAAGCTTGGAAAGTAAAAAACTCTGAATTGCAAAGAGAGTAATACTTGAAAAGTGACATTTCCGTAAGGTTAGGAAATGTGTCGCACTTTTAACGTTCAACGGGCGAAATGAACGAGTCGAATTAAACATTTGCCCATTTATCTGTTTGCCCTTTGTTCTTGATAAAAAAAAAAAGTTTCATTTTATGTCTTCAAAGGGTCTGTAAATTAGATGTAGAAAGCAATAAGTTACCATTTTAGTTGAGGATGATTTGATACTTGCCTCCAAGCCTTGGGGCCTGGACGAGCGAACACGGAGATTGAAAGTGCGACGATAGCAAGTAAATAAATGTCAAGGATGAGTCAGCCGCCAGACATAATGAACGCGCGAGAAATAACGGAGCTGGTGAGACTTCTTCGGCAGAACGGCGACGAGATCTTGAGCGCCTCTAGCAAGCTCTCCCTGTCAACAAAACTGCTGCATACTCTCAACGAGGCATTCTCGCTGATTGTATCGGAATCTCAAGATTTGGACTCCTCCTTTCACGTGTGTAACAGCTCCAAGGTAGATGTATTCCGTGACGTCAAGTTCCTACACGATTTCGTGCAGAAGACTATAGGCCTGAAAGTGACGCATTGCTCTTCCGACGTCAAAGTGACGATTGACATCTCCAAGTTTAGACACTTGAAGTATTTGGAGCTGAAACAAGTGTCTATTGAGTTATTGAAGGGTCTACAGAGCGTCAGAGGTCAGTTGGAAAGTATCGTGTGCGCCGGCAGGAAAGGAGTATCCACGATTTATCAATTACTAGGTAATCCTAGTTGACCGTCACTGATTGTACAGCCTTTTCCACGTGTATACGTGTATATTTTTACTTGCAGCTGCGTGCGGAGGCGATGCCGGAGTCGGGTTTGTATGGGCATCCTTGAAACACTTGGTATTACCTCACAACGCTCTCCAATGCCTCGACGAATCTTTAGAATTGGCACCTTGGCTTCAGATATTGGATTTGAGTCATAATATGATAACTAATGCCAAGGAGATATCTTGCTTGTCAAATTTAAGATACGTCAATCTGGGCTACAACAAATTGGAACATATACCTACGTTCAATAAGGCGGTGCTGCATTCGTTACAAGTGTTGGTGTTGAAAAACAATTACATTGACAACTTGAGCGGTTGGTTATTATTGCGATAACAATTTTCTCTCCTTATGCGAGTACATGTGCGTACAAACACAAATTTATGTACGACAGCTCTGCAAGGCTTAGAGTGTCTGACGGAGTTAGACTTGTCGTTTAACTGTTTAACGGAGCATCCGATCCTCTGGCCACTGCGAAAGATGTCTACCCTCTTGTGGTTATCCTTGGAAGGGAATCCTTTATCATATCATTCGAAACATCGTATACTGACGATAAAATATTTGAATCCGAGTTTATCGGACAGCAAGGTATCCTCGTGTGTAATAAACATTGTACATAGTAATATATCAAGTGCTAAACTGGCTGGCTTATATTTGACAAAATTCTCGCAGTTCGTTTTAGATCATCTGCCACTCTCAAATTGGGAAAAAACGCTAGTAGCGGAAAATCGGGTCTTTGCAATATCCACGAATCAATCGACATCACTGAGCAGCTCGATATCTGTATACGTTGATACACATGAATTCGACCAAGGCAAATTAGATCGTCGAACGATATCGTTACCTGAAACTCTGGAAAAGAGTGCAACGAGTAAAAGTAAAAAGAGGCGAAACGTTAAAGAAGCCATCATCGACGAGATCGATCAGGAGAGAGGAGAATTTAATCAACTGCCTGATGTAGAGGCATCTTCTTATTTAGGTAATAGATAAAATGACTGGTGCTGTTGCGATAGAGTAATGTACGTGTTCATTTTTTTTTTTTCTCAAGAGTCGTCAAAGGATTACTTGGAGACGAAAAAACGCATCTTGGATCTACGAGAAAAATTTGGCGAGGATAATTGGCTGAGCAGTCACGCGGCAACTTTTGTGCAGGATATTATGGGTCTACATCCTGCCACACGATTGCCAGAGTCGCAAATATCCAAGATACAGACTTTGACTGATGTTGATGCAGCATCGTCTCTGCACGATACTCTGATTCACGCGATAGATAACGGAGAATCTTTCGACGAATCCGAGTCGCGAGGAATCGCAGAATGCACAGAGGACGATAAAGAGAGTGAAGCGTTGGACAATCTTTCCAAGACATGCGCTGCTCCTACAATCGAATATGATCCTAATGAAGGTAACTTGGATGAAATATATTAACGATATTACGCCAAGTCAATTTTTCCATCTTTTAGAGGCTGGAGATTTATATATCGTTCAGAAAAGGAAAAACCAAGATGAGCTGGACAATGTCTTCCTGGTGATAACTTCCGAGTAAGTGACTCGCTACACGCGTCCAAGTCGTGTTTCCAAAATAAAATGTTTTGTCGCAACATTTGTAGAGATATTAAGGAAAGGGATGCGATCACAGGGAGAATCAAGTATTGTTGGTCGACAAATTCCGTATTGTCTTGCGTCTTGGGCAGAAGCGATCCACCCACAGTTGACATTATTTTTGACACTACTAGGAAAGATAAGGAGAACAGACGATACTTTGCCCAACCAGAAGATGCAAAGGTACCGAGAAACACTTGAATACGATTATGTAGTTTATGTAGCGTATGATCCTTTTTTAGAAAATTGTGACGACAATTAGCGAGCAAATCGAGATACGACCGATACTGCTCAAGGTTTTCAAGTGCATGAAATGCTCGACGCAATTCTCACAGGATCCGGAATTGTACAACGTAACGTTTGCTGTTAAATCAGGTTTGTTATTGTTTTACACGACGACTTTTGGAAACGATTGTTAAGTGATTTGTTCCCCTTTTTTTTCCATCAGGTGCGAAACAACTCAAGTGTCCTACCTGCGACAGCGGCTTAGTCATTGAAATAGAGACTGCGTCTAACGCAGACGCTCAAATTGCCAAGAATCAGCTAACGGAAAGCCCAACGAGGCTAAACCTGGCACATTCCGAGTCCTTCTCCAGTATCGGTAAGCCAGTACGATGACGTCACGTCATGTTTTCTCAGCATGTCGGAACAGATCTTTAGACGAATTTATAAGAATATGCACAATCTGTACGCGACAAGAATTGTCACATCGAGATGTTATCGCAATGTGTGAGTTGAGTTTTCAATTCATTAGTTGCCGAAAATTTCAATTTCCGCGAGACAATCATTGGAAAATTGTTAAGATTTTAGTTAAAATAGATAAGTAATTGTGGAAAGTCTTTTAGTTTTCGTCCGGAAAGTAAAAACTTGAAAATGTATATACGTACAGTTGTGCAAAACAATTAATTGTGTTGAAGTTGGCCTGACAATTACTCAACTTAATCTAAAAACGTGAGTTGAATCCTTACAATTAGTTGGCCAAATTGAATGATTTAGCGAATGCATTCGAATAATAATTGATATGTAGATGTTAATATGTATACATTATATACGTACTAATCAACGCGTGTGCACGCGTTTGTACGTTTTTACCATATTTAATGGGAACTGTAACATACTAATACCGGTGCAGGTGGAATGGAGGGTGGAGCTAAATCCGTCACCACTTCTCTGGTGCACTCCGACTCTCGCACCCAAGCTCAAGTCTGCTGTAAGCTTCAGCCACAATAATTTACGTTACAGCATTTCTCCCTCTCTCTCTCTCTCTCTCTCTGCCCCTCCTTTGCTCCTGTGTCTTTCTTCTTTCTCGTTCACCTTCTCGCCACGTTCCCCGTCAACCATTCAGTCGCCAACAGTTAATTTTCTTTCGCACTTTTTACTTGAAAACTTTAGTCTCGAGAGAGAAAAACTTTGGCGGCTGTTGGATTCAAATCCGTATTCACACATTAAAAGTTTGTATGTATATACATGGATATCTTGGTGATAATTTCTCTCCTCTCTCTCCCCTCCGTCCTTCTCTCTTCGGTGCTGTTGAGGCGCCTATAATTTTAAATTTTCATTTCTGTAAGTGCGACGTATTTACAAAAGAAATTCACATGTTTGATTTTTTATTAATTAAGATTTCCTTGGTTCTTCTCTTTGTCAATTTTCAGAAAATTTAACGACAAAATATTTTTCATCTCTTTTTCTGAATTGCCATTCATCATTGTCAGGTTCAGCGACGAGTTTAGAAGAGTCGAGGGAGTCAACACCGTCTGCAAATGTTCCGACGAAGAAATACGAGAGTGACATAGAGATACTCAGTAATCCAAGCCAGAGCAGCATCGAAGTTTTAGATGAAACACTAAAGTTAGTCTGCTGCGTGCTTGCACACTTATTTTACAGTGGTAGTTTTATATGATGCTCATCTTGTATGCGGGTCAACACGAACGCATTACAAAACCAGAATACTTAATATAATAGAATTTAATGGGCAAAAAAGAGAGAAACGAATATGTATCATCACCTACTCGTATTGTTTCGCTAACATTTTAACTGTGGCATCCACTGATGCAGGGCAAATGTCACACCGAGTCGAAAACGTTCGACGGAGGAAAAGCGTGCCGCGATCGCTCCTTCTCTAATAACGATACCAGATGCTACGCCAGTCATGACAGGTCTGACGGAAAGCAGTTCTTCGGGTTTGTATCTCTTGCCCTCTTTCACAAATAATTATGTATAATTAATAAGCTTCATTTCATTTCATTAATTTCGTTATGACTCGCACATTTCTTTTCTTCACAGGAATGTTTAAGTAATTGGAATGTCTGTAAAAGAGATAAACAAAAAGAGAAATTTTATAATACTAATGTAATATTTATCTCTGATAAGATTACGTAGGATTGTTACGTTATATGTTGAAAATAAAAATTGTTTATTTCTATTTCAATGGTATATACTTATGTGTAAAGTTAACTGAAATTATTTACAGGCTCATTAACGGATAGTATATGCACGGCATATGAAAATAAAATGGTTAAATCGACGAGCATCGATATCAAGTCCCATAGCAGCGAGGGCGAGAAAGAAATTGCGTTTGCTCCTATGACAAGCTTGACGTCTATGCTAGGAGGTAAAGTTGACAAGTTCCGGTTATCTCCTATTAACCGATTTGAATTTACCACATCAATTATCGTTTATCGGACATTACACTGTGATGTTTAACAGTAATGTCTTCATTCGTATCTATTTCTTCCTATCGTCATATGCCATTTTCAGGCTTGCTACAGAGCATCAAGATCGGCAGCAAAACCTTGAAGGGCGAAGAGGCGTCAAACTTTTTTGGTAGTAACGTGCAATATTCCTATACTGATTTTAGCAGCGTAGATCATAGAATCAAACTGCACATCATTCTCAATGTATTCGAGCATGAGAACGAAGAGCTCGTGCTTCTTCTCAAGGTATCTTCTCAAGATTCGCGTGATAGGCGTTTAAGTAATACGGCAAGCTCAAGTATTCTCTCTCTCTCTCTTCGTAACGTTCTCATCTGTGTAGGCAGACATTTTAATGCATTCTATGCAAGAGACATTTTCTGGATGCTTGGTATTGTCTACGTCCAAGGTCTACGTTCTCAGAATTGATGGGCCAGAAGGGTAAGCTACTTTGGCACAAATGTGAATATCCAAAGACATAAGAGTGATATCGTAAGGAAGATTATCTTTTATTCAAACGCTACGCGCCTTTGTGACTGTAGTTTACTTGGGATTAAGGGTGTTGGTTATTCTCGCGAGAGAATAAGCTCTTTATTCTTACAATTAGTTGCAAAGAAACTGAAAGGAAGAAAAAGAAATTTGTCACAGGGAGGATCCACAGCGTTGGCTTCACAAGGAAGTCAGTTGGACGACGGACAGATTAAGATCTTTCGTGCCGCTACCATTTAAGCAGGGCGTTTCAATCGAGTTACAACAGTCTGGTAAAGCCGGCGAGGAACATCTCGCCATCACCCTGCTCTGTATTCTGCAAGATTTCCAGAGAACGTCAAATTTTTTATTTTATATCACAGGTGAAAAAGCAATGTTTATTCCAACAATTGGATGAGATTTGTCAACCGCAAAGATTTTACCTCGGGCAAAATCCGAGACAAATGTATACACATATAGATATTTGAGCTCCTCTGCTTACGATGCGTTTCTGTCGCAATGTTAGATTTGCAGTTGCCTGCGAGCTGCGAAGTGGAATTCTCTATTCCAGAGCGTTACAGCACTCTGATGCACAATATACTAACGAATACTGCCAACTATCAAAGCGGCGACACCGTACGACTATTGGCTATATTTTCCTCCGCGATCCTGAAAGGTCAAACCATGACTACCAAGCTGAAACTGTCCGGATTGATAGTGACGAGTGCGACATTGGTGATACTCGAGGACAACGTTTGCTGGCTTATACCAGGCAGCGATCAAGTACCTTTGGTCGCTAGGGAACAAGCTATGAGCAATTTGATTGGGATGGTTAGTAATCTCTCTTAGTTGGTTGTAGCTTAGAAGGAGAGAGAGAGAGAGAGAGAGAGAGAGAGTTGTAGGAAATACACGTTATCGTGTGTGCACTAGTATATTATAATAAGTATAATTTCAGGAACATTGCGACACTTGGTTGACTTTGAATTTCTTGGACGAGATTGCGGGTCTCGAGGAAAACTGGACCTTGGAGTTTGTCTCTCCTGGTGCTATCGAGGCTGTAATAAGTTCTATTCAGCGACCGTGGGAAGAATTATTCTCGATACCTCTGCAAATAACCACGCGTGTAACACAGGATGATGCGGAGAAAACTTAAATGGCACGCAAATCAAATATCTAGTGAGTTTTTCTACATTACTGTTTGATGAACCTTCTCGTCTTGTATATAGAAAATCCAAAGACTACAGAGGAGAAAGCGAGCGATAACCCAAGTAGAGAGGGAAAAATGTCTACCTTGAAGACGTTTTATTCAAAACATTTCAAACAAATGTGTCTTTTTCTTTCTGCACTTGTACACAATTCCGGTGCAGTTTTACAATGACTTGTTTGATTTGTGATAGACACGTTGCGAATAAATCTTGCACTGTATACAGTTGTCAGTAGTGTTACTAGAACTCGGAATTGTAAATACTTGTGTCCTTCCTTTGTACCGATACTCTTGAGCCAAAGTTTCTCTATGATGTTAGGAGAGCGTGCGATTTGCATTGTACATTTGGTTGGCAAAGTTGTAGTTATTAATTGTTTCTGATTATAAATGTCCGACTGTGATATGTATATTTGGAATTTTACAATGCAAGACTCAGGTACTCTATTGTAGATATTTATATCGCGAGAATATTGCAATTTATATTTTGTAACAAAGCGTGTATAAATATATGTAATTACGATCTTGAGGCATACCTTTTCAATTCTCCTATTTCTCGACGATCATTATCCACCTCTATAATCACTCGGAAAGGCGATTGTGCGTCCTAATAAAGTGTCCCATTTTAATACATTTTACGCATTATTGTGCAGTGGAAGAAGCATCTTGCTATACTTTTGTATCGCGGATACGTCTGTAGCTTGAAAGATTACGACATATGCAGCTGATAATGACTTAATGACGAGGGCACACACTCGTTCTCAATATCTCGTACGCAGCTACATTTCAGCTATCCATTTCAGTTATCGTTTGCCGTTCCTTCGTAATCGAAAGTGCACACCTTAATTAATACAGAGGATAATTGTAAATTGTACGTGTAACTTGTTACACTAGACAAATTGTAAGAGGGTAATCGATGTACGCAAAGTAACAAAGACAGGAATTGTATAATCTACATATACATATATATATAAAGGGAGAATTCAGAGATGCATATCCTGCGAGTTGTAACCCCGGCATGGCTCGCTCTCGTCGTTGTATCGATGCGCAATGGCATCAATGGTTTCGGATACCGTAAAAGAGGTATACACAGCACAACGGAGATTTCAATCCCCATTTATTTCGCGAATCATTAATCCAAACGTGACGTATTGCTTGTCTTTTTACTTAAAAACAAAAATAACAGACGAGTCTAATTGAAAGTTCATATTCATATTCAATTGGATATAAATAATTAATAGTAATAAAAAGAAAAAATTTGCCAGTAATGCTAGTAATGTTTAATTTTAGAGCAACATTTGTGGCCGCAGAAGTACGAATCGTGCGCGGGAAAACTACAATCGCCCGTGGGTATATCCACATCGAAAGCGATCGCTTTACCACTCCCGGCTCTCGAGATGATCGGTTATCATGATTTTCTTTCAATGCCGCAAATATTGACGAACAATGGACAAACCGGTATAAATACTATGTATATACTATGTAGATTCTACCGAGTGACAATGAGAGAATAGCGCGTGTCCTTTTAGTTAAACTCACTGTGAATAAGAATGCGATGTACGGAAGATTGCCGTACATATTCGGTGCCGTGCTGCAACGGAATCGACAATACGAAATGGAACAACTGCACTTTCACTGGGGCATAAAAAACAATAGGGGTGCTGAACACGTGTTAAACGGTGTAAGGTATGAACAATTTCGATTCGCTCGAGTGGAAGGGAAAAGAACGATTGAAGATTAACGCCCTGATAATAGGTATCCAATGGAAATGCACATTGTACATCGTAACATGGCATATTCCAACATTTCGTATGCGCTACGGCACGAGGATGGTGTAGTCGTAGTAGCTACTCTCTTCCAGGTAATCTCGATTTATCGAGACTCTGGTCAATTCTAAAGCGAGAAAATTGCGTGCTTTTAGTTGCAAGATGAAGATAATGAGCTCATTCGATCTCTCATAAGCGAGCTAGCAGACGTGCAATGGGCACGTACAGAGCTGTCGGTCAACGTATCTCTCGCTCTGGCATCACTGATACCATCCAACACCGATATCTTTTATACGTACAAGGGATCTCTCACGACTCCGCCTTGTAGCGAAGCGGTCACTTGGATTATTTTCGCCACTCCAGTCCCGATATCTTTCCGTCAGGTATTATATATTGTACATATCCAATTCATACTAAGAAACTTGCACGCAGTATGTGTCTTTTTAGATTAACACGTTTCGGAAACTCTCAAACGGCGAGGAAACACTGGGCGATAATTTTCGGCTGTTGCAAGATATCGGTCAACGTAAGGTATATATCAGAAGATTGGACCCATCGTTCTGGACAAAAAATATCAAGCGCGACGATTCGCGATTCGATTTTGCAAACTTGAGTTGGTTTTGGTCGTAGCGCAACAATCGACAATTTCTAATTTTGCCTCAAGAGGTTAAAACTTACCTACAATTAGTAACTTGTATAAAATTGAAAGGTTTGCTGCAAAACTTGTTTATTCGTCTTTCTAAATCATTCATCGTTCCGTAATTATTCCGAGTTGAATGACACGAGATGGCGAACCCTCCTCGAGTGATACACCTTTTAAGTTGATCCATCGTAAAATTCGTAATAAGGTATACTCGTTTAAACCTCATTGGATCACGCATGAAGCCTTTTGCACGCCGATATTCCACAGTTGGTGATAACGAGCCATGCTAATAGAGAAATAGCGTTCTCGTGCTGACACGGCCAACTCAAAAGATTCTGGACCGGCCATAATATATCCTCCGGGAGAATAACAACTGGCTCGTTTTTATACATGTGCAATAACCACATGATTAACATACCCTGTCGATAAGAGGTTGCTTTTTTAACGCTATAATTAAGATTACATTAAGATCAAATTCTTCCACCATTTGATACGTTGATTTCAATTCACAGCATCGTAGACAGCAAGTGAAAAACAACTTGATCTTAATCGCTTGAGTGAGCAGCCTACTTACGTTTAACATATGAAAGATATAAATAAGCGACATTTGAAGTTTCAATCTCCAATTCAGTCGTTGATTCGCTATAAGAAAAAAAGAAGAGAGATTGCACAAATGCAGATGGGAAATTTCATAACGTCCTTCATAGTACAAGAGATAATTTCTTGATAAGCATGCATGTACGAAATCTCGAAAGATATATTCCAACCAAGTAAAGGGACGAATACTTGTATAAATTCCTCCATGCGACATGCGCAATGATAAATGTTCACTTAATGTGGGACACGAAGAGGAAAAATTCAAGTTGAAACTCACCGTTTTCTTTCAAGACACTTTCCACATGATTGTAGCGGCGTTGGAGCTTGGCATACTTGGCAAACTCGTCCACCATGGAGATTCCTGCCATATCTTGTTTCAAATTGCTCAGCTCTTTCCGCAACTCAACGTCATATCTCTTTTGCGCGAACACACGTGATGAAATCTACACACATAGTATATATCGATCAAATTGATGAAACTCGTTAGGTTTACGATCCTCTGTCGAATTCCACTCGATGGAAATCTCAAAAAGGAAATAAAGTACAAACTAATGGATAAATCTTTCAAAGATACTTACGAATCTAATGAGAAACGGTGCAACGTTACCCAAGACGCAACAAAGAGTGGATACCACGAATAAATCCATTTGTGTGACGTGAGATATTTTCCGTTTCGCTTGCATGTGACTTTAAAAAGTAAACCGACAAAATATATCACGAAATACCTACGTTATATGCACCTGGTCGCATAACCGGCGTAACCACACAGGTGACACAGGTTAGGTTAGGTGAATTTGAGACCACCATGTTTCCAGCGCTCTACGCCCACTTACATTTTTCCAACTACTCCGCTACATTTTCAAGCACTGTCGATAAAAATCGTCTTGTCTTACGAGTGAGCAAACTTGACAACTTTGCGGAACATGTTATACCTGACTCTACCGTCTCCGAGATAACCGACAGGCGGTAACTTACACACCATTCAATAGATAAAAAAAGAAATATTAGTAGAAAAGAAAGACGTTTCAACACATGTATTGAAGGTAAAAGATTTTACTCGAGTACTCTTTCTCTCAACATGTACATTCAAAGTTGAGCCTTTCAAGGAGTAAGCCGTTTGGGATCGCGCGGAAACATGGACACTTTACGAATGTTGTCCAGGCCGAGATACAGCATCACTACGCGTTCCATGCCTATGCCACCACCAGCGTGTGGCGGACAACCATATCTAAAGGCATCGATATACGACTTGATCTTTTCAATATCTGAAAAACAATCATTATCTAAATCTTATTATCAAAAATTATCTTAAAATTACGCCAAAGATCAAGTTTTTTCTTCTTTACGATTCATGGAACGCTCGCAATGATAAAAGCGAAAATTACCAATTCCATGGTGCTTGGCACGTTCGGTAAGAAAATCCGGATCATGAATACGTTGCGCGCCAGATATGATTTCCTCACCTCGCATAAACATGTCGTACGAATTGGACACTTTCTACAATGCAAATGAGATAGTCGTTAAAAAGAAAGAGAGAAGAAATGCCATGCTGTGATCTTGTATGAATACTTTACAGGGTTATTTGGATCCGGCATAGTATAGAAAGGTCTTACAGCGAGAGGATACTTGTCCAAAATGTAAAAGTCTGTATCGTACTGCAAGAAGGAAGGAAGACATTTGATATTTTTGTCCTTGTAATAGCCATTGAACTGTTGTAAAATTGCCTTACTTTACTCTTGACGAGTTTCCCCAAAAGTTTTTCATCCGGCGTCGACAGATCGTCCTCCTCTCCCAGAGTCACGCCCGCTTCTGCCAACAATTGGATCGCCTGTGGGTACTCCAATATCAAAGCCGGTTCGAGAAACTTGAAAGGCTCCACCGGATACTGTTGACTGACCGCCGCTATATCATCTGCATAACTGTTGAATCCCTATTGATTAATCGATTATATCGATATTAATAAATATACCGAATTAATAAATAGAATGTAACCAACTTGTCGCGTAGGCCCTTAAACAGCTCGGTAAACATTTCTCCGATGGTGTTTATCACTTCGTGATAGTGATACTTGAAAGCCATTTCCAGATCAAGGCCTACAAATTCTGTCAAATGTCTGTGCGTATTGGAATCTTCCGCTCTGAAAACTAATAATCTTTCCTTTGTACTTTGCGCGTTCCAGTCTATTCCTCTCGCGAACATACATACCTGCCCCGACAGTAAATACTTTGTCAAAATCTGCGGCAATTGCCATCTGCTTGTACAATTGAGGCGATTGAGCTAGGTAAGCATTGCCTTTGAAATAAGATACCGTAAACACGTTCGCCCCACCCTCACTGGCTGCGGAAATGATTTTTGGAGTATGGATCTCGACAAAGCCCTGAAAAAAGAATAACACCGAGAGAGGAGAGCAGAGATGACGAAACGTCATCTATAGTGCTTACCTTCCTTGTCAGAATATCCCTAAAGAGCTTACAAACACCGGCTTCCACCTTGAAAATCGCTTGATTGGCCGGAGTGCGGAGATCCAAAACTCTGTTATCCAGTCTGGTGTCCTGATTCACTCTCACGTTCAGCGTCGTCTCGTCTGCCTCGCCGACGGGTCTCGCGGCATCTTCGATTTGCAAGGGAAGCTGCGGCTTCGCGGCGCTCACCACAAATATTTCCTTCAGATGAACCTCGACATCTTTTTGCGAACACGATTCGATTTTCGAGGGTACAGGCATCACCACGGCCATCGCATCGACTATAGACTCCTTCGTGATGCTAAACGAAACGCCACACGCCACATTAATTATATAGCACTTGATACTCGAATCACAATTTTGCACAGGTCTTAATTGGATTTTACTTTGATATAAATTTAATCATTTGCTTGCTGATCTCTTCATTCACCGCAGCTAGTCCTTGTACAGTGTACGATTGTTGTCTCAACACGATAAAGCATTGTTTGCCTGTAAAATTTGCGAGAGATTAAAGTTTCACTCACGACTGGCTAGTTTTCTACAAAATACTATTTACCTTTGGCACGACTAGTATGTAACCGACCTCTCAGCCAAACTGTCTGATTGTTTAGATTTTTATCCAGATTCTTGATCGCCACAAACATTCTGTCCTTGAATGTTTCCTTACTCTGAATCATATCCATCTGCCCATACTTTCCCACGGACACATCCTCGGTTTCATTTGTAGATTCTTGCTGGGAATGCTGAAACGCAATCTTTATTCTTACTCCGTTATACGTAATTTGACTCACCTCAGTAAACATTTGTTACGAAACAAAATACAGACTTACAGACTGAGCCATTCTTTCAGCCTTCTTTGCTGCTTTCTGTACCTCCTTCTGCTGCTTTTTCAGCGCTTTCTTAGACATCTCGTCTCTTTGTAAGGAAATGTATCAAATGTATTAAAATGTATCAACGTACAAGATGCATAAATCCAACACAGTTTATAATATATTTAAACTTGTAAAGCTATGCGAATAAGAAAATATTGAAAATCAATACCCTGTCGGAGGACATTCCACTGGCTTGTCTTCAACCATCTGAAAAGGATGGACAATTTTTATTTCAATATATGTAAACATATGTTATTATATTATTGTGCAATATACGCCAACGGTAGAAAAAGTAGTACATATTGAAACAATGTAAACTCAATTGTGGCAATGTGGGCCATTGTTAATTGACGGATTATAATAACGTTTATATTTACATACTATCATGTACATGAAAAATGATAACGTTCGTTCGTGGATAACCTAAACCTGCAACAAGTTTCCGACACGATACTCAACAGTCACACGCGTGATGCGAGGGTACGGTATCACACCGAATTAAATAAATTGTGAGAATATAAAAACTGCTACCGTACGTACTCTGCTTGTGCGAGAAATTCGACAAACTATACAAATAGAATCCCAACGTGCGATTATATATCCTTACGAGGAGGCTGACATGTGTGTAGGCGCTCTTGATGGAGAGAGCCAATTAGAATGCGGTAACGCGTACATAGAAACTAGGGTGCATTCTGAATGGCTAGTGTAGAGGACAGTTGAGGATGATCCATAACGGACAGAAGAGTGGCCATATTTCCATTTAAAATTCGCCAAGCTTGTGTGCGTATCAGCCGACGTAGTCAGACGCAGTTATCAGCATTTTTTCCTCGTCTGATTATTCGTGATTCAGCAATTTAACATTGTACAGTTCTCTATTGGGGACTCGAGCAGACTCGAATAGACGGGAATAAACGGGAATACCTTCCGATAGATTGGCGAGATGACGACGATCAAGGCAGTCTGTGTTCTTCAGGGAGACAGGGGTGTGAAGGGAGTCGTGAATTTTGAGCAGACGGTAAATTGTCTTTTTACATCTTTATCTTATTATCTTAAATGAACAAGTTGGTAAAAACTTGATTTCCATTGCAGAAAGGTAGTAATAATGTTAAGGTGACTGGAACGATTGAAGGCTTGGAGAAAGGCCAGCACGGTTTTCACGTGCATCAATTTGGTGACAACACCAATGGTACGCTCAAGTCAGATTTTATGAGAATACCCAACGAGATAACTTGGACATTGAAAAGGAAATCAATTCAAGTCTCTGTAACCTTGATATCCTTAACTTGTCCTCTTATTCCAATATGTATTCAAATATTTTTTGTAACAATTTTGTAACAATTTGGTAACAAGTTACCAAAGTACTCTTGTCTTTCACTATCTATATCGATATCAATTTCTAGCCAAGAGAGAAGAAAACGTGTTCTCTGTTTCTTCACAGGTTGCACGAGTGCCGGCCCTCATTTCAATCCAGAGAACAAAAGTCACGGTGGACCAGAACACAGCGAGCGCCATATTGGAGATTTAGGAAACGTGATAGCAGATGCTAACCGCGTGGCAATTGTTAACATTACCGATTGTGTCATTCAACTTTCTGGAGAACGTAGTATCATTGGGCGAACTCTTGTGGTATAAAACTCATTTAACTTGATTATTCTTTAGCATGGCTCTTTAAGAGTAAATATGATTTGCATATTTACTTTTTAAGTTGGTAAAGTTTCAGACCTTTTCTTAAAATTTTAGGTCCATGAAGATGCTGATGATTTGGGCCTGGGTGGCGTGGAACTGTCAAAAGAGACTGGCAATGCTGGTGCTCGTCTTGCCTGCGGTGTTATTGGCATCGCAAAGTAAATGTACGTGATCGGCGCGAAAAGTTGATAGGATTAAAGATAGGGTGTATGTTAGAGACGTACTATTTTCTTATCACTTGGTTTTCATACAACCGTATAAAAATTATTCTTTTGTTCTTTGCAATTTATTATATAATATTATGTAATACTATTAAAGTTGCTTCCTAATAAGGTTAATAAAGTGTCAAAACTTGAATTTACGTATATTGCCTATGGAACAGTTTTGTCTCCGCTTTGTAATTTTTACGATAACACTAGATCATTGAAATGGCAAGCGCGTATCCAAAGATATTTCTTATCATTATCTGAATTGGTCGAAATTATAAGTCTTATCTAGGCTTATCGCGCCGCGATGATAATATCGATGACGCGCCTAAAAATTTTACCACAAGCATACGATGTATCAATTTCGGCGGTTGTCGCGATTGTGAATTGTCGCAAGATTTGCAAATATGTTGCCTCTAAACCGTGAAAACGAACCGAGGATTAGCGTCTTTGACGATTACTATGAAGACAGCAGCTCGGAATTTGACGAAACTGAAGAAGAGAGGTATGTGCTTGGAGAATTGTATTTTCTAAAGATAAGAGAAATCGAATGAATCTGGTCCAACGAGTAAATACACGACTTAAAATTTTACCAAATTGTGGTATCTCGAGAAAAAGAGGTTGTTTCGATTAGCTTTTTCTTCTCTCAAATTTATGCGCCAACTTAATGATTTGTTATAAAGAGTAGATGAATTCGAATGAACGAACGAATATACATGTTGAGGAAAAGGAGAATGCAATTACAATGTTAAGAGGAAAAAGAGGGAGATGAGATAATAATAGTAAGCAAATAGTTGGTAAATGCTGAGCTCGGAAGAAATACGGGGAATAATGTGGCTTCCAGTTTGCTGAAGGACGTTCCACCGTGGGACATGTTCGAATGTCTTCCTCCTCCGCCAAAAAGTGGATCTATGCGAAGTAACAGGTTCTTTGAGATTGTCATTAGAATCTTAAAGATATTCGTTTATGGGTTGCTGTTCACTATTGTTTTATGCAGCGGCATCACGTCTAAATTGGCTGTTCTATTGGCCGCTGCGCAGCTACGAAAAAACCAATCGCTGCCCTACTATAATTGTAAGACGGGTAAGATTTCAATCGTTTCAAGCTGAAATTAATAGCTGAGGGCTTTTCTATTGACATCAAAGAGACCTCGTTTTATCTCTTATCGTTTATCACATATTACCCTCTTGGCGAAATAAAAGTGATGAGGGATCCAATTCCTCTTATCGGATATATTCCTTTACGCAAAACTCCTTAGAGAAGCTAGAGGAGCCCCTTACCGAAGATACGCAGGATGCCCGGGTAAAATGGACATGGTGTCTGATTTTCATATTTCTCGTGCCGGAATGCATCGGAGTGTTAAACACCTTGTGGCACTACCTATTCAAAGGGAGACCAAGGATGTCAAAGAAACGAAGCATTCTGCTCGTGGTACTGATGGACACGCTCCACACTATCGGTTTAGTGCTGTTGGCTTTTGTCATTCTACCGGAAATCGGTGCGGTGCAAGGCGCCGCCATTTTCTGTTGCCTATGTTTCGTCCCAGGAATATTGAGTAAGTGCGTAAATTAATTTTCCTTTCTAATGAATTCATTTTCAACGGCAGTCACATATCTATCTTTGTCTTGTTAAAGCTACTGTTTTTACTTCTTATAAGTATATTGGCTTGTTATCCACTTAAATTCTTAGATCTACTTTCGCGAAACAAAGACAGCCGAGATGTGTCGGCGAGCAAATTAAGATTACTGAAAGTCGTTGACGCATTGGCACTAACCGCCCAAGTTAGTGGAATGTTGTGGCCTTTGATGTTATATCTTGCCAAGTACGATATCGATGCAAGACTTACGTGGCTCTCTCCCGTTACCCTCGCCTTGTGCTCGAGTCGCTGGTGGAGCAACTTTGTGTCGTCCCACAGCAACCTTGGTACGTTGTATATTGTAAAAACTGATTGATTAAAACAAAGAAATCAATATATAAGATTAAAACATAGGTCTGGCGCGATTTTTATCCCGTGCAAAAGAAGATGTTCAATCAGATCAGCACGTCGTACAAGGCTACATCTCCCTTTGGAGGATATTCATTTTTATCGCAGGTGCTCTCGTTGTTAACGTATGCGAAGGAATAAAGGCTACGAGCTTCTTCTCACCGAGATTCACTACCCATACACCCCTTTATATCTTTGCGATTCAAGCCGCTTGCGCCATGACGATGTATCAGTCTTGTAAGTCGAAAGTCAATTATATACAATGTATAAAATAATAATATTCATATCTACTAGTAATAGATAGGGGGGATAAGCTAGCGGTAAGCTCTTTGTACAAATTTAGACTGTGTCCAAAGACACGTCCAAAGGACGTTTCAACTTTTCAGGTAAATTTGCTTACCGAACCCACATGCATCGGTTTGGTTTCGCGCTTCCAACGAATCTGGCTAGCCTGGGAGCGGTGTGTTTGGTCGTGACGTTGTGCGCCGCCAGGCACGAGAACATCTGTGCCTTTCACAACGTTACACCTGACTATCTTTTCTTCGAGGAATTCTTGTTTGCAAATTGGAAGGAATTTCTTTCCAGCTGGTATATTTGGCTGATATGGCTGATATGGCTGATGTCGCAGATATGGATCTCGATGCACCTGTGGACCACCGATAACGAAAGACTGGCACTAGCGGAAAGAATCTTCTCTACGAGCACTTACGATTCGCTTATGATTGACCAATGTTTAGCTTTAAATAGAAGAACGCAGAATGAAAATATCGAGCGAGAAGAGACGCGAGAGGAGAAGGACAAGGACGCTCAACTTCCAGTAAAGAATTAATCTCTTCCATTTCTTTATTTATTATCACAATTACATTGATTATCGAAAAGCTCTTGATTGAAATTTCAGAATGGTGACCTAAGACTCGAAGCTAATTACGATATTAGTTTAAACATTGGAAGAATCGAACAGGACCTTGACAAGGATGATCCGGAGGATACGACGGCAATCGATAAACGTAAAGATCGAGTGACGAGAATCTATGCGTGCGCTACAATGTGGCATGAAGAGAAGAATGAGATGAATCACTTGGTAGGCAGTATTCTGCGATTGGATAAGGATCAGTGTGCGATACGCGTCACGCAGAAACATTACAAGGTTCACATCGAGGATTATTACGAATTGGAAAGTGAGTCGCGTGATTGTCAATCAAAATTAAAAATTAGATTCACCTTAATATATATATTATAATGTTTTAAACATGGTACACGAGGAAAATTGAAATTTAATCATCGTTGACGTACGCAAATTTAGTCTTCTGTCTACTTGACAACTATCGTAACGTTGGTCAGACGAGAATTACATTTAGTATTGCGAAAAATTTGTTAATAAAAAAGGAAAATGATGAAATACATTTGGTCGAATAAATGTTATACGCTTCATTAGCGCACATTTTCTTCGACGATGCATTTTGCTGCATGCACGGCTGCGTTGGTTTGTGCAATCACGATGAAAATGAGACGCAAGTCAATCAATATGTAATTACGCTGGTGGAGACGGTTCAAAAAAATGTGGAAAACTTGTACATGCGTTCTTCACCGCCTACTAAATATCCGACGCCTTACGGGGGTCGTCTTGTGTGGACGTTGCCAGGCGAAACTAAATTATTCGTTCACCTCAAGGATAAAAATAAGATTAGATACAGGAAACGATGGAGTCAGGTGTGAGAACATATTGTGCACATCGAGTCGTTCTCTAATAAAAATGTTACGATGACACGCGCACACGTAATGGCTAAACTTTTATTAGAGAACAATTTAATTATCCAATTCGGAAGAAGAATCCGAGAGATGTACCTTTCGTTTCATCTTTTTTTAGGTAATGTACATGTATTATCTTTTGGGCCTTCGCCTTATGGCAAAACCGATCGACATAGAGCGGAAAGAGACTATTGCCGAGAACATGTACATTCTTACATTAGACGGAGATATCGACTTTCGACCAGCCGCGGTCAAAGTTCTGGTGGATCTGATGAAAAAGGATCGAGATCTTGGTGCCGCGTGTGGCCGAATACATCCCGTCGGATCAGGTGACAAATTATAACTATATATATAACAGCTTACTTTTGTAATATACGGAAAAGCGATTGCATATATTTGACTGTTTGTTATTACAGGTCCAATGGTTTGGTTTCAAAAATTCGAATACGCTATTGGCCACTGGTTGCAAAAATCTACAGAACATACGATCGGCTGCGTTCTGTGTAGTCCTGGCTGTTTTTCACTCTTTAGAGCGAAAGCGTTAAAGCAACCGAATGTAATGGCGAAATATGCTACCAAGTCTACCGAAGCTAGACATTACATTCAGTATGACCAAGGTGAGGATCGGTGGCTCTGTACATTGCTTCTCCAAGTAGGTTCCCGGGTAAGTCATCAATCAACACGATTGTGAGTTTAGAATATACAAAAGGTAGAGAATTCGCGTGTATGTACAAGAATATAGCGTCGAGTCTTAGGATCAATTCGTTTCCGCCAGGTCGAATATTCGGCGGCGAGTGATGCGTATACACACGCACCAGAGCTCTTTAGAGATTTCTACATACAACGACGGAGATGGATTCCCTCCACTGTCGCAAATATTTTCGACTTGTTGATGACTGCTAAAGAGACGAGGGAGGTGAATAAAGATATCTCGTGGCTGTACATTGCTTATCAATGGATTCTCATGGGTACGTATCTACTGATAATAAAGACAGATTTTTATTATTTATTAAATCAATAAAATATTATTGTATTTCAGGGAGTACAATCCTGGGACCAGGTACGATATTTTTGATGCTGGTTGGCGCGTTTGTCGCCGCGTTTCATATCGACAATTGGTCCAGTTTTTGGTACAATCTAATCCCCATTGGTGTGTTTGTCGGAGTTTGCTTCACCTGTAAGGAACGCATACAGGTACGTAAATCGCGAGTGGGGTCTTATCTCAAAAAAGGAGGAGATATTTTGAATCTAATTGATACAGCATTTATTGACAGTATAATTACTGAGACGTGTCCTTGCAGTTATTAGTAGCCGAAATTATCAGTGCTATATATGGCTTAGTGATGGTAATTGTCCTGGTAGGAATTATGTTGCAAATCGCCGAAGATGGTTGGCTCGCACCTAGTAGTCTTCTCTTCTTCATTGTCGCATGCCAAATGACAGTAGCTGGTCTGTTACATCCTCAAGAAGCAACTTGTCTATTTTGCGGTGTTATTTATTACATTACTGTACCATCCATGTATATGTTGTTAATTATCTTTTCCGTGTTCAACGTGCATAACGTTACATGGGGCACGCGTGATTCGAAGAAACCGAGTGTCGTAAGTCTACCGTTCTCGAATTTTTATTTCATTCCGAGCAGATTACTTCTTTAAACACACTCACTCACGTGGAATGTAATTCTGAAAAATAATTATGTTATAATTACTGCAAAAAAAGACTCTTCAAGAGGAGCAGAGATCCGCAGCAATCAGCAATCTATCCGGGTTCATGGTAGGAAAGAAAAATAAGCAAGACAAGAATGAAAAAGGTTCATTGGAGTTTTCCTTGGGAAATCTTTTCAAATGTGTCTGCTGCGTACATTCAGGAGTTAATTACGAAGAGAAGCGGTTGAGTGAAATCAACGATTCTCTACAACAGATAAACAAACGTCTAAACTTATTAGACAGGTGCGACTTATTATTTACAGTCATGATGAAACTTCATCATCGAAAGTCATTATTATAACTTGTAATCATTATTACTTAAAAGATTTACCTACAACACAAATATAATTATTGATAATTATAGACTACATGCAGTAAACATGGAAACTAACAATGTTGCCCAATCATCTTCTAATGCTAATGTGTACCAAAGACCATATTTTCCCATGGAAGAGACAATAGAAGAGGAAATGCGTGAAGGAATCGAGTTACAACATATAACCGATAAAAGTGATGAAGAAAATGTCATTTACAAGGATGTCGATGACGATGACGATGAAAGTGATGTTCTGACGCAGGTGTCAGCAACCTCGAGCCAGGATCGTAGTTTCCTTATTAGTCCTTATTGGCTTCAAGATGAAAGACTGCGAAGAGGTGTGGTAGATTTCCTATCGAACGATGAGGAAGAATTTTGGAAAGATTTGATTGGAAAATATTTGCGACCCATTGAAAGCGATGAGGAGAGTCAAGTGAGTTGGATCTATCTTTACCCTGCAAAAAAGGCAGAAAAATAGGCCAAGTAGTTGATGAAACTTTCTTGTATGATTATTTTACATGTTTGTAATTTATAGCGATATATTACAAAATTATATTCTTTTTAGAACAAAATAACTCAGGAACTGATGAACTCTCGTGATGCATATTTATCAAAATTCTTCATGTTAAATGCCTTGTTTGTGTTGATCGTGTTTCTTATGCAGTTAAACAAAGATACACTGCATTTGCAATGGCCACTTGGAATGAAGTATAATATTACATTTAATTTACAAGGAAATCATGTAAGTACCTCGATGATAATAACAACAACAACACCGGTAATAGTAATTATAATTTCACAAAGTTATATATTTAATAATGTTACAATTGAAACAAATCAACTTGTTTAAACTTGATGAATTAGCAATTAAATTGTTATACGATTATATAAAATAAATTTCTTACAGGTACATGTAACAAAAGAATATTTAAGACTCGAACCGATAGGATGTCTATTTATTGCCGCGTTCATTAGTATATTAGGTATCCAGTTCTGTGCCATGTTAGTTCATCGATTCGACACATTTTCCCATGTACTCGCCAATACGAAACTTCCTTCTTGCACTAAGGTAATATTAAAAGAAAAAGAAACGTTTATCAATATAAAATGCATTTTATCCTCTTCGTAATACGCAACATAATTCAACTAGTTTCCCCTCGCGTTAAATACTTTCTTCCCCTCAGACTCCTTCGAAAGACGGCGATTTTGAAAAACACGCTGATAAGATAGCAGAGATGCTTCAACGTATGGTGGAGGACGACATGATATTCGAATTTAGACGAAGTACCGTGACTTGTCCCAGTAAACAACAAAATACACACGAATTAACGGGAAAGTCAAAGAGATCGTTGAAGATATTGGGAAACTTTGAAAAATTGTTTCGACGGAAGCTTCACGATCCAAATTCAGGTATAATTGCTTTTAATTGTTACTTGAAAGTTTCGTGCTTTATGTACAAGCATTGAAGGTGCTAATAAAATTAAAGGAGAGAATTCTCGAGATTTAATCGAGTTGAGCGCGCACTCATCTTCTGAATTGTACATTTTGTATTTTTATTTTACATATACATGTTTGAATATTATACTAAATGTGAAACTGTGGGACAACATCACGATGAAAGAAACAGGGAGGAAGCGATAATGTCACGTACTTGCAAATCAAATCATCGTTTCTTGCTCGCGTTTGCTTTTACGAGAGAGATCGAGCGTAACAAACAAATACTTTTAGTAAACTATTGACAAGGGAATCAAAATTAAAACATGTTACAAAATTTATTTATCATTTTTTTACTATAACGTCACGTACTAATTACTGTTGAACTGAAATGCAATCTGAAACGCACGGACAAAGATATGCCACATTTCGGTTATCCCTACTGACAATGTGTACATACGTGTAGTACGTGTGAAAATGGACTACATAAAAACACTCGTAAAACACTTATGAATTGTTAAAAAAAATAGCGATTTACCCTTGTCTTTAACCAAGATGTTTATACATTATTACGATTGGGATTTATAAAAAGGCAATTGATGTCTCAAGCAACACACGGAAAAAAAAAGATACATTTATAAAATCAATCTTGCAATCTCGAGTAATCGCTTCTTTGGTCAACCTCTAGATAGTGCAAACAAAAACGTTCTAAACATACATTATGGCATTAATTACCACACTTGATACTTTTATCTAATACTTTTCCCCGAATATCTCTCGTCTATTTTGCAGGTTTATCGCAACGCATGTCCTCGCAAATGCCGAAAAGTGCATTTAGTGCCTTTGAGCGGAGGCGATCAACAATTTTAGCTAAAAGGAGAAGAACACAGACTCGGAAGTCATATGGCATTTATGACGATGCTGATAATTTGAGACCTTCAAACCAGGATTCTTTCCAACCAGGACAGTCGAATTCACATCAGTTTCAATATGATAATCCAGGATTCAAGCGGGATGAGAATATATGAGATTTATAAAACAACCAACTTGATGTGAGATGTAATAATGCAGGAGGAAATTTTTATGTAATTTCTCGTTTCTGACATCATAATTTACTTAAAAGAGACGAAACGGCAAGCTAAGGGTACGTGTTGAGGTCCACAAAACAATCATTGCATATAACGTTGGATCGCGTTTTGAGGATAAATTTGAATTTGCCGCCTCTAAAAAGAAAATCCGGAGGATATTAATTTTAAACTTACTTTAAGTTAATATATTATATAAATTAAAAGACAATTTCGGACAATGGTTATAGCAAAATAGTATATTATTTCTTCCTCACACAAAAACTGTAATAAAAAGTAACTGCAGTGCCGTCCTTGTTACATATGTATAGCGTTTTTCCTTCTCCTCGAGTTATAATCGTTGCTGCTATCGTGTGATATTCGAAATATTACATTTGCATACTGACGAAGAATTGCGAAACGTAGTTGAAAAGAAGGCGACACAGGTCGGAGAAAATTAATTTGGCCTCTTTTGATTTTTCTGTCCCCGAGATCGAGACGTCCCCGACGGTTTCCCGTCTTTAGGGCTTGGAGGAATAACGATACGTCCGGCGGCAATTTCACTTCGATCGGCGGACTCGTCGATTTGTTTTTGAGCCTCGAGGAAAAACATGAGATCCCGGTTTTGCTCCTTCAAGTCGGTGATCTCTGCTTCTTTGGTAGACAATTCATCTTGTAATTTCTCGCATTTCGTCTGCCAGGAAGTCTGGTTCAATTGTAGGGCCCTTCGTAAATCTTTTTCCTCCGTCAATTCCGTTTGTATTTGTGCCAATTTATTGGTGGAATGCTGCAGACGCTTATCCAGCATCTGCTTGTCACGGTTGAACGTCGCGAATTGTTTCTTGAATTGTGAGTTTTCCTCGAGCACTTGTTCAAATTTATCCCTCAGCTCAGTAATCTCTGTCATGGAACGTTGCTCCGAGCGGCTGAGTCTCTCCTCATAGTATTGTCGTTGCGTCTCCAACTGTGACGTTAGCAAATACGTAAACTCTAACTGTACCGAATCTACCTTGTCCTCTACAGCGGCCCCCTCGCTCTTGATCGCCGAGTGACCACCTTCCACCATCTTACCATCTTTGTCCTGCAGTAGCCGATGCACAAAATTGTCACCTACGTAATCCCAGACGCGATTGTTGCCCAACTGCATAGCGTAGCAATGGTGCGTGTCCCGGTAGTGTTCGAACGCATGACCCTGATGATAACGCGAGCAGCCTACGTGGCCGCAGATCAAGCAAATCCACAGTGCATCGTTGCTAGTATCTGCAACTGAATAGATTTCGCAAGCATAATAGAGATTGGAGTAATAAATGACTCGAGAGGGAGAGAGAGAGAGAGAGAGCTAAGCAATTACCACATTCCATGCAACGACTGTCCGCCAGTGGCTCTGGCGTTTGGGCGTATCGACAGATCGGACAGGATGTGTCGCCCCATTTGACGAGGCAACTGGAGTGGAACGTGTGGTTGCACAGTATCGTCAGGATTCCATCGACACTCTCGTCCATTCTTTCGAGACAGACGGGACACGATGGCAACTCTGTATGCCCGCTCAGAGGCATTCCATTGTCCCCTACTTCGACTCGGGATACAAACACCATGTGACAAACCACATCTGGTTCGAGAGAGTTGTAGGGAGCACCATTGAAGGTTTCGTAAAACTCGCTCGCCGCGCTCGACGACCTGAAGGTGATCAGGGCCATGTACTGGTTGGGGCTGCCGTCTCTGAGGATTCGAAAGTATTGTATGTCCTGATGGCAAGCTGCGGTGAAAGTCAAAAGATCGTGGCAAGTCATTGTCGCCGGTACCGACAGGATGCAGATGGTGTGGCTGCGATCCGCAGCGCAGCGCATTTCAGTCAGTTCACTGTAACGAAAGAAGAAAGTGTGATTACACGTATGCGAATACCTAATAATATGGAATTTGCAAGTGAGGAGCAAAGCGTGAAAGCTTACTCTTCCTTGAAGAGATGAAGGATGCCCTTGGTAACTTCGACAAAGGGGTTTCCAGAGATAAAACTGATTTGATCTGGTGAGGTGCAAGCGGCGGCACCGGTTATCTCTCCCGGAGCAGAACTCGCGACATGATTGGAATTGGCAAAGGACGTCTCTTCGGAATTGGCTCTCGAGAACGAATGTGGCTTGCTTGTGCTCTGACTGGACAGTAACGCGGATGTGGTTTCCGCCAGGTTTGTATAAGTCTCGACGTTGATATCCCTTGGTTCTCTGCAACCTCTCGTCTTCTTTGCAGCCATGGTGCCTACGACATTGGTTTGTTAGCAATTATTCGAGGAATCGAGTTGTAACAAGATACGTTGATGCTCACTGGTGGTTTCTTCCAGCTCCGAGTCACAAGTCTCGATGCGAATAACGCACAGAGACACCAGGACGGCGGACGAATTCATGCCACATAATTAAATTACGATAAACGTACCACAATCACGCCCATTTATATGAGATTCTACTAGAGAACAGATGGACCGCACCGAGTTGGTGCTGGGGAAGGTTACTTGGAGGTTGGAGTGGTTGGACTGGTTGGAGGTTAGAGATGCGCGTGCGGCGCGCGTGAGGCCGTTCTCCACCGTTCTCGCCGGAAATCGGCAGTCGGCACTTCGGCAATCGGCAGTCGGCTTGGTTGCTCTCACAAGTCACAACACAATCAGCTGGGAAATGTTGGCGTCGCGGCGAGCGGGGCGAGCGGGGCGAGTGACATAACCGGACGTGACATGTGAATCATGTGATTGGGCCGCCCAGGTCTGGGCTCGTAAGAGTCGTAGGGGAACTACTCGAGTCGGAAACTCGATGACGTAATTCGACGGAAAAAGAACAGTGATCCGTTTCAAGGTTATGATCGTCCATCCCGTTGTTGACTCGTGTTTCACCCCGCGTATATCGCAGTATATCGCGCCCATCTGTAATTCTCTATGCGAATCATTGCCTACTCTGACGCAACGAGAGAGGTAAATATCGTGTAAAGTTCGTTACAAATGTAGGCTGGAAAGAAAAGGCGCGTTTGGAGACGTGCTCTCTGTGGATTTCAAATCCGTCCACTGACCAACGCTCCGTACTGCTAACGTAAGAGACTCGTTACTTATCTCACAAATTGTATACTTGTTCCCAGATTTATGTTCCCAGATAGCTTGTCTCTTAGACATGCATTATCTCTCTATTTAATGATAAGATTATTTTAACTAGTCAATCACATCGACATGGTGCGTCAGAGTGTTAAATGCGGTTCCTCTTGATAATTAGCTCTCACCAAGTATTACTGCCCACAGTTCACCAGACACATTTTGATAACTTAATTTTCAGATTGAGAAGAAACGAGAAGGAAACAGACAGCAAAATGGTCTTTGAGTCAATCGTTGCCGAACTCCTCAACAAGGTGATTGGTGAATATATTGAGAACTTGGACTATACGCAGCTTAAAGTCAGCCTCTGGGGAGGTAAGAACGCACTCGACTCAATCCTTTCGCTCAAATTGCAACAAACTCTTTGTTTTCAGGTGATCTCGTGTTAAATGACTTGTTAATAAAAGAGTCCGCATTGGATGTGTTGGATCTGCCAGTGAGATTGGAATATGGCCGCTTAGGTATTAAGATATTACTCATTATAAGTCTGTGAAATAATTTCAGACTCTGACTTGGTATCGTAGGAGAGAGGTAAAAATTACTACGAGATATATTTCAGGGAAATTAATACTCAAGATTCCATTCAAAGATATGTGGAATGGTCAGATCGATGCGATAGTAGAGGAGCTGTTTATACTGGTGGTACCTACGAGTCAAGTTTCGTACAATGAAGAGAAGGAGACGAAAGCGCGGTTGGAAGCTAAACGAGCGGAGCTCGAGAGGGTGGAAAAGAGGAAACAGTTGGCGGACATAAAATGTAACCAAGTTCTTACAACTGTTGTAACGACGATAACAATTCACTGTTTACACGCGGATTTGTTATGTCTCGACTCTTGCAGCGCAAGAGAAACTGGACGATTCGATGGTTGAGAAGCTGATCGCTCGCATGATCAAGAACATTCATGTGGAGATCAAGAGGATTCACGTGCGGTACGAGGATCATGTCACCTTCAAAGAACATCCGTTTTCCGTTGGCTTTACCCTCAATACCTTTGTCCTCGAGAGCTGTACAGGCTCCTGGGAGACCACTGGCAATCTCAAGGACATGTATGCCATTCCGCAGATCTTCAAACTGTGCGGTCTGGACGGGCTGGCCGTCTACCTCAATACAAGCGTGGAGCAGTATAGCAAGAGCTCGCAGTCCACGTATTCCACTCTTTTTTGTAGTGGCATCGCAACTATGGACTACACTCCAACGGGCTACCGATATCTCCTAGGACCGATCAATGTCAAGGCCAAGCTCAAACTCAATCCCAAGCCCGAATCTGATGGTAGCAACTACACTATCCCCAAGGTGACTTAACGACATATCCCTTATCCCTTATCCCTTACAATTGGTTCAAGTTGATTCGTTCTCGCAGAGAGAGAGAGAGAGAGAGAGAGACTAGAGAATATAGTTTGAATCTCGTACCTTGCTTCTTTTCGTCCAGGTATGGCTCGACCTGGAGATGCAGAAATTACGGATTGGCCTAACGAAGCGCCAATATCAGACCTTGGTGCGGCTGGGAGAGGGCCTAGATCAGGCGAGGAAAGCCGCGCCGTATCGGAAATACCGACCAAATCTGACATCGTATCGCGGCCACTACAAGGAGTGGTGGCATTTCGCGTACACCTGCGTCCTCGAGGAGACGGTGCGACGGTGTCGTCGTAACTGGGACTGGAACCACATGAAGCAGCACCGTGACACTTGCCGCGCCTACGCCGAGGCCTATCAGACAAAGCTGACGACCAAGAAGTTGGCAAAGGAGATTGATGAACGGCTGACGGACTGTGAAACGACATTGGACATTTTCAACCTGGTGATTATTCGACAGCAAATCGAAATGGAAGTGGAGAGGCTAGCAGAGCGAGAGAAGAGCCTGAAAGCGAAGCGAGGTTGGTTCGGTTTTCTGTGGACCAGTTCGCAGGCTGAGGAGACCAAGGATCTCAATTCGGCTGCAGCCATCATGCGCAGGTTTGTCAAACGTATAATAAATAAGTTGACAACTTTTACGTCGAGTTTTCTGATAATCCTAGAGGTTTCTGGAACTTGATGTGACTTGGTTTCACTTGAATGGCTCAGATTCGAAGAAGCGATGACGCCGCAGGAGAAGGAGAAGCTCTATCGGGCAATCGATTATCAAGAGAATAGCGCACCCGCGCACTATCCAGAGACGTACGAAATAATTGACACACGTTTCCTTCTGCACGGTCTGCAAATCACTCTGCTGGACACAGACAAGGAGCACCCATGCGTCTTGGACTTGCAGCTACACGGCGTACGGACGGGCTTCAAGTCGCGGCCGTCTGCGAATGCGATCCTCGTCAGTGCCTCTATTAGCGACATGAAACTGCTGGGCGTGACGCAGAATGCTCGCGTGCCTTCGCTCTTCAATCCGGAACACGGCAGCTCTGATAGCGCCCTGCTGTCGGTCTCCTACGAGAAGAATCCGATCGATAAGCTGTGCGGTGATCGTGTAATTGTCAAGTCTCGATCCGTCGACATCATCTACGATGCGCAAACCATTGTAGAACTGATCGACATGTTTAAGGTATTCTTTTTTTCTCGAATCGAATTCTCATCTAATTATAATTTCTTCGTTGCAAACTGTTTAATATTGAGAAATATTTATAGGTGCAAGACTCTTCAACGTTGAATCAGCTGCAAACAGCCGCGGCAGAACGGTTGGAGGGCTTGAAGGAAATGTCGGCGCTCGGGCTGGAATATGCTATAGAAAAACATTCGGTGTTGGACATACAAGTGGATATGCAGGCGTCGCAACTTATCGTACCGCACGGCGGTCTCTACGATGACTCGAAGGCGTTAATCGTCGTGAATCTAGGTAGTCTAAAGATGCATTCCCTGGAGAAGGGCAAGAGCGACATGGCTGGCGTTAGCGTTAAACAACTGGTTAGCATAGGCAAGAGCGAAGAGGAAGTGTTGCTGCATCTGAGGGAGCACAGCTACGACAAATTCGTTTTGAAGATAGTCAACTTTCAAGTAATAACAGCTTTTATTTGCACTTGTTGAGTAGAAAAATTTATGTAAAGTAATACTGAGAGAGAGAGAAATTTCTACAAATCAATTATGTTAAAATTGATTTGTTGCCAGGTGCTGGTCTCGCTGCCGAATGAAGAGTGGCGATCAGCTTTGGCAAGTACCGAGAGTTCCCTGACATTGCTCCATCCAACTACTTTGGAAGTTCAGTTCCACAAGTGTCTGGTGACGGACGATCCTTTGTTGCCAAAACTACGGCTTCTTGGTCACCTGCCGTCAGTTGCCGTCAACATAACGGATGTTCGACTACTGCAGGCACTCTCGATCGCGCAGAGCATCTCCCTACCCGAGGAGGAAAAACCAGCGGAATTGCAGCGTATCTCTCTCTCCAAATCCATTTCGCAGTTATCGCTGAAGGAGCTCGGCAGCACGATATCGAGCATCGCCGACAAGAGAAAACAGCAACAGGAAACCGCTGCCGTGTCGATGAAGCAGACTACTGACTTGGAGATGAAATTCGAGATGAAGGAATTTAAGCTGTCAGTGTCCAGACAACGAGACGACGACGGCGAGTCATCGGAATTCATCAGGTTTGCGGCGCATAATACATTTCTTTTTTGCTTTTCATTTATTCTCCCATACCTTGTTGCGACAAGGTACTCTCTCTCAAGATTCCAAGGTTTCTCTCAGATTCCAGGTGCTGCAGCTGGAGGCGGAACTGCTGCAGCGTACATACGATCAGGTGGTGCAGCTGCGACTGGGCGGCGTGCAGATCCGGCAGCTCTACGAAAATCAGGACATCTTCATGGTTAACACGCCGATGTCGGCCGGCAGGGACGAGTATTTGGTCGTCGTGCAATATGTCAACGTGAACAAACGCTCGCCAGAATTTGCCACGCGCCACGGTTCTGTCGTGAAGCTGCTTCGACTAGAGTTCACCTCGCTAGACACGCTGTTACATCAAGAAGCGCTTATCGAGCTGCTACGATTCAGTACATACATTCAGGACCGAATGAGCTCGCTCGAAGGTGCTCGGAAGAAGGAGGTCGAGCGCCCTCGGCCGATCCGTTTGACCTCCATCCAGGAAGAGAGTTCCGGTTTCTTCAAGGAGCAGCTACAGAAGCAACGATTAAGACCCCCTGGGCGACGCAGGAAACAAACCGTTGAATGCATCGATCTAAAGGTGAATGCCAAGATCGGCTCGATCAATCTAAAGATTTCGAGCGCCGCCCGGGACATTACCGCGCTCTACGTTGAGCGTATCAGCGTCAACTTTCTCAGCAAGTCTTCGTATTCGCAAGTGAACGCCGATCTCGCCTCCATCAGCATCAAGGATCTCAATCCTGCTTCCGTGTACAAGGACATCGTGGCTGTGGAAGGATCTACCGAGTCTTTGCAAATCCAAACGGTGATATACAACATCGAGCACTGGGAAATGGACAAGAACCACATGTCCGTCAAGGTTACGATGGGCTGCCATCGCATTGTCTTCCTGAATGCTTTCGTTGCCAGCTTTATGAATTTCCTCAACAACTTCCAAGCGGCGCAGAAAGCTATCAAAGACGCGTCGGCGGCAGCGGCGGAAGCCGCAAAGACAAACATCAAGGATGTTCAGGAGAGTGCTTCGCGCATCGAGCTGAGTATCAGGATCAAGGCGCCCGTCATATACGTGCCGATGAATTCCAAGAACGAGCACAGCTTGATGCTAGACATGGGTAATCTCGTGATACGTAACGTCTTCAAGAAGCTGGACGTGACGAACGAGGAGACCAACGAGTGTCCCGTGGTAGATGAAATGAAGATCGAGCTGCAAAACTTGAAGCTATCTCGAGTTCGGCTGAACACGGAGAGATTTACCAGCGAGAACGAGGTGCTGCTGCTCGAGCCGGTAACGTTTACGCTGCTGATGAAGCGCAATCTGTCGACCGCCTGGTTCACTGCCATACCAGACATCGATATGTCGGGCAGATTGAACAGGATCAATCTGCTGTTGAGCAAAGAGGACTACGCTACGATTCTCAAGGTGCTGGAGCAGAATCTGGGCGAGACGTTCGAGGACTCGAAACCCGTGCAGCAAGCCCTGCCTGCATCTGGTCAAGTCAAGCCCGAATGCGGTGAGCTCCAGCCGGCGTACAAATATGAGATCGACGCGTCGCGAGAGGCACCATCGGCGGATGACGCGCAGGAGCGGCACGCTCACACGTCCGTCAAGTTCGAGTTCGTAATGGACAGTCTGGTGATCAATCTCTTCACCGGCGGCTCCAAGTTGCTGCAGTCGCAAGCGTCGCCGCTGCATCTGCCCGAGCATGGATTGGCGCGCTTCAGCCTCACGCACTTTGCCGTCAAGGGCCGCGTGTTCGCGGACGGTCTACTGGCCACGTCGATCCTGCTGATGAACTGCACGCTAGACGACACGCGACAGAGCCGAGAGGGCTCGCTGGTGCGGATCATGGAGAGGACCAGCAGCGCCACCGCGCCTGGATTGTCAGGAGGGCCGAGCGAGGATCAGCTCGACAAAGGACGACACGCCAAGTACGGCCAGGCCAGGAGTATGCTGGACGTGACGGTGCGCCAGAGCCCGAACGACACGTTCGTCGACGTGCGAGTTTTCTCTTTCAGCATCATCGTATCCCTCGATTACCTTATGAAGATCAAGGATTTCTTCGATGCGGATACCGCGCCGAACAAGACGGCCGTTGCTGCCTCCTCGAGGACCGAATTGGTGATGCCAAAGAAGAAAGCAGCGCAACAGCAGTCGGCGGCTGCTTCGACGGCCAAGATGTTGACTGTAAATCTGCACGTGGAAAAGCCGGATATTATCCTACTCGAGGACATGGACGACATCAATTCGAATTGCATAGTACTGAATACAGAATTGTTGCTCAAGGTACGCGTAATGGGGGAGCACCAGGTGATCGCGGGTTCCATTAAAGACCTCTCGTTGCTGACGGGGATATACAATCCTGCCAAGAGGGCCGACTGGATCTATCAGGTCTTGAGACCGTGCAGCATCAGCGTAGCTGGCTCCACGCCAGAAGGCAAAGGGCTTCATTTGGAGGTCTGTTGCACAGACGTACACGTCTCCGTTTCGCCAGGTGTAATCGAGATATTGAACAAGGTCATTCACACGGTAACGAGAAAGGAGGAGGAGGACAAGGAGATTGTTAAGCCTGAGCCTAATTACGAAGGATTGTGGATCGTCACTCCCTTTGAAGAGAATAATTATTGGTTCTTGAAAACAGAAGTCGCGATGGAAGCGCTCGAAGAGATTACGTATCCGGCCGACGCGGACGAGATCGTGGCGGCCTACAAGCCCGAATTGGCGATCGTCTCGGCGCCGACGATCTTGTTCACCCTGGAGGCGGGTGTCGGCAACAAAACTCTGCCCATGTTGCTGCTTCACCTGGGTTTCCAAAGCAGTGTCAACGATTGGAGCACAAAATCCATGAGCGTAGACTGCACAATGTCGATGATCATGGCGTATTATAACAGCCGCCTCGCGCTCTGGGAACCGCTGATCGAGCCGATAGAAAGCTCCGATAACGGCAAACGCGCCTCGACGCCGTGGGAACTGAAAACGAAGATCCAATTTAACGACATAACGCTAGACTCGAGAGGTGCTAGTGCGATCAGCCCCATCTCGGAGAGCGAACCCGAGGAGCTGCACCAGTCTACTAAGATGTCCATCGACGTTACGTCCTCTGATAATCTCGAGATAACTGTGACCAAGACGTGTCTGGATGTCCTCAAACAACTCGGACATTCCTTTTCCTCGGCTATGGAGGCCAGCGGCAAAGGGCCTACCAGGAAAATGGCGCCGTACGTGCTCAAGAACGAGACCGGTCTGGCGATAATACTCGACCTCGAGCACAGCCTTTTCAAGGTCACTACGTATATTCCGTCCGTTTGCTTCGTATCATTTTATTAATTAATATCCGTCGATCGATATAAAATGACTTGGCTCTTGTAGATTTTTGACGACGGATCGACAACGCGAGACCACAATGATTCCTATATGGAGGTAATCCTTGAAACTGGCGCGTCGATAGAGCTCGCACCCAAGACGTCCAAGTTGGGTGACGCGCGTCTTCTCGAGCAGTTAAAAGTAGAGGCGGTGAAGGATAGAGAAGACAATAAATTTTCCATATCTGTAAGTTATTAAATAGACGTAGAATTTGTGATTCTTCGAGACTCTAGAGTTGGACATAATATAATGATATTTTGAATAGTTCAAAGGTATTCAAGGCAAACTGGCGATACCTGTGCTGAGGGCGGATAGGAGATTCTTCTCTCTGAAGCACCGGAAGGAAGGCTCCGAAGAATGGGGTATCATATCAGACATCATTGTGGAGGAGGGGAGCACGATCGTTACTCTTCGAAGTGTACTTCAGGTAAATAGAGGAAAAGGGGAATTGTCTCATCTGAGATACTTGAGTTAATCGGCTTCTTCCCGCGTGTCGTAGGTCCACAATCATTTCGCGCAGCCTATATCTGTTTATTACATGACAAAACGTGGAAATGAGGTGGAATGTGTAGGTACAGTCGCACCGGGAGAGAAGCTCAACTTACCTCTAGATGCCGTGTACACTCCGATCAACATTTATTGGCTGTTTTTCAGTGTCGATGGGTACGTTCGCATTTTTGGACATTAATAACATTGTTTTAGCTCCACGAAATTTTCAACCGGATCTAATTTTCTTTAGATATATGGTATCGGTCGAGCCATTCCTCTGGAAGAACCTGCAGAAAACTGTTTCCATGACGAAGCTATTAAAGTGCGAGTCGCGAACCAAACGGGACGCCACAGAACCATTTTACATACAGGTCAACGTTCTTTCCACATATAATTTCCATGATGAGATACTTGATGAACGATGAATAGTAGAGAAATAAGGGATATCCGTTTGTACAGGCTGTAGGAGAGATCGAGCAGGTGTATTTCGAGAATACCACTCGATACACTATGGCTAGTACCGTTTACAACGTACACCTGTACCCATCTGTGTACCTGAAGAATTTCCTACCGATCGACATCATTATCTGCTTGCCTGGCACCGCTCAGGAGAGCTTACTCGAAGCAAGTGCCTCTCTGCAACTTCCTACGATTGATCCAGTCAAATCAAATATAATAATCAAGGTAGATATATATATATATATATATATATAGTAAGATATTTGAGAATTTATTCATATTAAGTAAATTACAGCTGCCCAATTACCTCGAAAAAGATTGGTCGTGCAAAGGAGAGATTGTGGCAAACCCACCGGAGTTTGCGGTATGGTCGTTCGAGTCTTTCGATAGCGTGCAAAAGGTGATCCTGGATCTCGGGATGCACACGTCTTACAAGCACAGTTCGATCGTCATGGCCTTGTACTGTCCCTTCTGGATGCTGAACAAGACTGGTTTAATGCTGTCCTACAGAGTATGTTTCTTTGCCTCTGCGTACAATTTGCAATTTATTATCGATCTTTACATCTGCCAAAGAAAATCTCTTTCTAGAGCTCTCTAAGAGTTTTTTTAACACTCAACCGTGTTCTAGAGAGCCTCTTTTGCTCCGCTCAAACAGTGTGTGAAATTTTTTACTCATACATGCACCCTTTTTACGTCGTACTTGCTAACGTATGCTTCCTCGCCCGAACGGTCTTCAGCCTTTCTCGTGCCCCCTCCTCCTTCGTTAATGTATATCTAGCAATACTAACCCAGCACTGCATCTTGCCTGATTAGAGCCCTGTATTCAACATGCTCCATTATTTTACAGAAGTCAAGTAAGGGTGGCAAAGAGCACTCGAGTCCGATCAAGGTAGAGATTTCCTGTTATCGTGCCACATTATTGTGCTTTTCGTATAAATAGTCATCTTGTATTATTAGCAAAATTAGCAATCAGAATTTTGTCCAAGTCTATAAAATTATTGGATTATTAATAATAACTTAAAAATAATTTCATCAACATTGATTTATTGTCGGCTGGACATCGATGTTTAACGCTTTATTCGTGAAAATGTATATGCAAACGTCTTTCAGAAATTTGTTTCCGCTATGAACCCCCATCGGCAACGCGCACAGTACAGGAAGAGGAAAACGCGCGCGGTGACGCATCGCTTTATTTCAATATTATCGCTGTTCTCGTGCTTGTGTTCGCAAGATTATCAATTATTATGAAATAACCGTCGTCTAATCTAATCGTATCTGGAACCGGAACTGAACGTCACAAACTGTGTTAGATTATCATCGTGTTAGTCATGCTAATTTCTAACAGTTGCATCTTATCAAACATAAAGCGTACTCACACATAAACGTTATCCACATCACATGTGTAATTGTGCTTTATCACACACGCTAATTTCTGTTTACTTATACTGTCATAGTCCTCCCTTTCCTTCTTCTCATCCAATTTTAGATTTGTTGAATCGCTGCGTATGGCGAATCCATCGATTCTCAAATGTCTCAGCGTTTCGCTTGCATTTTTTTAGATACTAGGAATAGACAAAATATCCCGTTCGCAAACTCGACAAAGTTTGTATAACGAGCTAATAATATGAAGGTGTTTGGTACTTGTTCTTACTAATTGCATGATGTACCGAAAGAATTATTTTTGACGAGTTGAGTGAGATTAACTTGTATCGATTGCTCTTTTCAGACTACGGACGATTATCTAAACGTCTTGTACCACCCGGAGCACTTTAAGGGACCTATTCTGTTTTCGTTCCGCTCCAAAGCCTTCTTCGGCAAGAAGAAAGCCATGATCAGAGTGGAGGATGGAGAGTGGTCTGACAAATTCTCCATCGACGTCGCAGGTAGCGAGGGTGTGGTAGCCTGCAAATACAACGGAATGATATATCAGGTTCTTATATTTTACTTTATGCTATTCGTTAAAGTGTATTAGTAATAGGTGGATGTTTGTGCTGAACGTAAGAACATAAGAACATGAGAGCATAAGAAGTAAAGAAGAAGGAGTAAAAAAAATGCAAGTGGTAAAATTCTCGTTTTTCTCTTACTTGTAGATTGGGGTAAACAATCAACTGACGTACAACTCGTTGACCAAGCAGATTACGTTTACTCCCTACTACATACTTATCAACAATGCAGATTTCCTCATAGAATGCCAGGAGGGTGATCGACCGGCCGATCCGGCGGTTAAAGTACGTTAGATATAAACAACTCGATTACCGTATCGCTCAAATATTCTAGTGAAATATTGCGCTATAATGTCATTGCTGCATGCCAAGGTGCCTCCTGGTGAATGTGCGGCCTTGTGGCCCAGAACCGAGCACGAGAACAAGACATTGAAAGCCAAAGTCGCAGGTCAGCCTGAGAAAACTGCGGCGTTTATTTATACCGACAGCCACACGACTCTGCTGAAATTGGACAATAAGGTAAAAAAGAGCGCAACTAACCAAAATAATCAACAATTGTATTACATATGATTTAATTTGCACCACAGTACGGAGGGATCAATGTAGATGTACAAATCAGCGAGGGCGGCGTTTACATCTCCATGTCGGCCTACAGTCCAGGCAACGCACCAGCTTTGATCGTCAACCATACGCCACATGCCATTAATCTGTGGGAAAAAGGTTCGATTAATGTTAGGTACGTTACGGAATGCGCTCGAGTGATTGTTAAACTTGATGCCAGATTATCAAGATGTGTCGAGTATCAAGATTTAGTTGTATACAAATCGATTGCATGTCTGTACAATGTATCGACAGGTCCGTGCAGTCGTATAACAGAATGTTTTATACGTGGGAGAATCCGGCAGGCCCGCGAAAACTGGTTTGGGAGGATAACAACGGCAAGGACATCGAAGACAATCTTCGCAAGGTAAACGGAAAAAAGGACAAAGGGTCTTTGTTCAAGTAAAGAATCCTCTGTTCTTTTCCAGGATAATCTTGGAACCTTCCAGCTGCCGGATGTAGACGAGAAACTATTCTACGTCTCGTTCCTGGACGGTACTCAGCGAGTGCTGCTGTTCACTACAAATCTAAAGATCGCCGAGGATTGTCAGCTGGCCGGTGACCTGGAAGTGATAGATCAGGAAATCACGCTGAACATCCATGGTATTGGATTCTCTCTCGTGAACAATATTACCAAATCCGAGTTGCTGTACATGTGTATTGCCAGGTGAGAATATTGCGACTTTTAATGTTAAATTTTATTTAAATGTACCCTATAGTTTCACACACAATTAAAATTCGATAATATTTAACGAAATGACAATTGCTCTCTTTATATGCGCCATCGTGTAAAATAAATACGATTCTATGATAATTCAGCTCGGGAATTATATGGGAGACGTGTAAATCCCTTGGCGGTCGATGGCGAGCGTTAAATGCCAAGGAAGTCTATGCAATTGAGGAGGGATATCAACGGTACATTAGGGAGTTGCAAATCGGCAAAGATGCCGACTATCGGATGATGTTGGAGCCGAAACTAATGGTAAAGAGCAAAAAGTTGAACGCTCGATTCTAGAGCTCGGATTTTAATTTCTAAACCAGGAATCCAACTTGATCTTTACGTGGTGACATATATTGTTCTCAGGTGGATTATCTAAATATGGAGATGCTGAGGCCGCATCGTAGATATATGCGACGTACATTTCAGACTGGGCTTTGGCTACAATACCGTACCTCGATGCATCAAGTACAGCTGCATGCCAAGATCAACAAGCTTCAGATTGATAATCAGCTGTCGGAGTGCGTATTTCCAGTTATACTAGCTCCAGTGCCACCACCAAAGAGCGTCACGCAGAGTACAGGTTATTATTTATATGACGTGAGAAACAATTTCTCTCGTTAACTCTCTTGTGACATTTCATTGATATATTTCTCCCCAAACTCTTTCATTGATTTATTGTTTTCTGTAGTGATGAAACCTTTTGCGGAGCTCAGCATGGTCAAGCGCCTATTGGAGCACAGCACCGTGCAGCAATTCCGATACTTTAAGGTTCTCGTGCAAGAGTTTCACATCAAAGTGGACATCGTTTTCATAAATGCAATAATGAGTCTGCTCGAGGCGAACGAGGTCAACGATGCCGAGGAGGTGAGAAGTGGGATATTGAGATTTATATATTTCCAATTGTTTTCGATCGATACGATCGTCTCGTTCGTTTGTTCCAGAGCGCTTTATTCCGCACGGACATGAGACTCGTTAACGAACCGTTAATGTACCACGTTAATCTCATCACCACGGCCGAGCAGAAGAACTTTTTCGATCTGCTGCACTTTTCGCCTCTCAAGGTGTGCTTCTCGCATTTCGATATAATAAATGGAAAAAACTTGACATCATCTTGTATTCCTTTCTTCGTTCATACAGATACACATTAGTTTCTCAATGACCGGAAGCGGAGGAGGACCATCGGCGCTGCCGCAAGTACTTAATGTGCTGCTGCAAGGAATCGGCGTGACGCTGACGGATATTAACGATATTGTGTTCAAGTAAGGCCTTGATGCAATTGGAGAGATTTGTTTAAAAGATTAGACTTGGTAGTCTTGTACTTTTCTATTGGCGCAGATTGGCGTACTTTGAGAGAAACTATGTATTCATGACGCACAAGCAGCTCGTTTCCGAGGCGAGTACTCATTACGCGGGCCAGGCGATCAAACAAGCGTATGTACTTGTGTTGGGACTCGATGTGATCGGCAATCCATACGGGCTCGTGATCGGCACCATGAAGGGCATCGAGGACTTGTTCTACGAACCCTTCCAAGGGGCTATACAAGGTCCAGGGGAGTTCGCGGAGGGCCTGTTCCTCGGAGTGCGCAGCATGTTGGGCCATACTGTCGGTGGAATGGCGGGCGCTGTCTCCAAGATTACAGGAGCGATGGGTGTGTGTCTCGATGTTTCCTCCAAATTATGTTATGTTATACGTCTATTTTTGCGTAGGCAAGGGTATAGCTGCTCTGACCTTCGACAAGGATTATCAACGAAAGAGGCAAGAACAGCTCAACAAGCAGCCCGCTAACTTACAAGAGGGTCTCGCACGAAGCGGAAAGGGTTTAGTTATGGTAAGAGGCATTCGTTAGTCTACTAATTAATTTGATACATCTACGAATTATTTATCTCGCCTCGCCTAGGGTGTAGTCGATGGTGTAACGGGTGTAGTAACGAAACCCATATCGGGCGCGAGGGAAGAAGGTGTAGAAGGGTTCTTCAAGGGATTTGGAAAGGGTGTTGTTGGACTGGTTACCAGGCCTACGGCTGGTGTTATCGACTTTGCAAGTGGTTCCTTTGGAGCTGTCAGACGGTAATGCAAAAGTAGTTTTTTCACAACTTGATGAATAAGACAATTAAAATTGGAAATTGTTCATAAAATTAGCCCAAGTAGTACGTGCAAATATGGAGGTAACATTTTAACATTCGTTTCAGAGCCACCGAGCTGAGTGAGGAAGCAAGGAGAGTACGATCGCCTAGATTTCTCCAACCGGACAGTCTTGTTAGACCCTACATAAAGGATGAAGCCGAAGGCAACAAGATATTGATGGTAAGAATGCCATTTTTAATTTTAGGTAGACAGTCTGTTATTAATATTATGGTACAAAGGTTTACGAAGGAGAAAGTTAATTGTAAATGCTTTATTAAAGAAATGTGTGTAATTAAATTTTGTACAAAAGTCTTCCATTTTATCTTCTCTTTCTCTTCCATAGGAATTGGAAAAGGGGAAATATGCGCACACGGATGTTTATGTCTACCATGTATTCATTAACAAAGACGTGCTATTACTCACTGACAAAAGATTGTCGTACGTCGAACACAGTGACTTGTTTGGTGGTTGGCGGGTTAGTATTTATTACAATTCATTACAGTTAGTATTGGTCCTATGTGCTTGGGTCATTTGTTTTTCCAGGTTGACTGGAGTTACACTTGGAACGAATTGAGCGAAGCAAGAGTCGTAGAGAAAGGTGTACAGATTGTTCTTAAAGACACTAATAAGAGAAAGAAACTCAGTGGTCTATTCGGCAGTGCAGACCAGGCAAAGATACTCTTAATAACGGATCATAATGTTAAACAAGTACGTATTACCAACGAGTTGTATAGTTTCGCAAAAATATTATCTATCAAACATCATATTATTTTGCATTATATTTGATCGTCTCTCATGATTAATCTTTCCCGCAGCTGTTGTGCGGTAAAATACAGGAGCAGGTTAATCAATCCGGAATATAACACAGCAACTCACAAACACGAGAAAACGTGCTCGAACGCTTTCGAGCTATATAGGAAAAGTAAAAAGGCAAAAGAAAGAGCAAGCAAGCTTCATTTCCGAGCGAACACTGCGAGCGAGTTTGCACAATTTCTATGCACATTTTCTACAGACACTGTTTATAAGACTGATACCGTGTAATCGCAACAATCAGATAAACGCTAGTTAATGTATCAAGTAGCGAAAGAAACCGTGTGGAAGAGTGTATATACGGGATCTTTTTCATACACTTTATTATACAAATGTTCAGAGCTCGTTCGCGGTATCGGTATCATTGCCGAACGAACAACGTTAGATCGATGCGAAGGATGCGTCACATTTGTCAAATGAAGTCGAAAACGAAATATTAATTACGTAACTTGAATCGTTTAGTCGAGTATAAGAGAGTTACCGTTTACTACGGTCAAACAAAGTTTAAGACGTAAAAGTAACCTGTTGTAAAGAAGTTGAAATGAGACAAAATGACAGAAAAGTGAATCTCATTTTGACAAACTGAATTAAAACCGTACAGTAAAATTACTCCTACGTACTTGTGTTGAAGTATTATGCAGATTTTTTAAGAAAATCCGGTGAACCGGTATTGTTTTGTATTTATAGAAAGTTAATTTTACACATCACTAACATGCCGTATTGTTAATTACATCGTAACGCGAGCGTCATCACTCAGGTGATATATATATATATATAAATTAATTAAGTAACGCGCTTAATTATCTTTCTGCTGATGGTATCCGGTGAAAATATTAAATAGGATTTACCACGAATGCCATTGACGCAATCGATTAGATGCATTGTTAAGACGTAATAAATTTTATTACTGAGCTTGAACGCCTAAATGATTGTGCATCGGTGATATTTCTACCTCGTTTTATTCTTTTTAATACTAGTTAATAATTAGAAGTGTAACAAAACTTAAGTTATATAATAATTAACGTAATCGATCTTTGTAACTAATTTGATTTCGCTCGATTCCGCGAAAAGTTTTAATTGAAACCAAAGATTTCACCCGTGCGACGACGCAATTGTTACTTGTATGTGTATAGTGTACACACTGTGCTTATTACGTATTGAATTAATTGAACTGTACATAGAGTTCTATTGCAGCACTTGGACAATAAACTTACATTACAACTATTTTCTGCATATTACAATAATATTAATTGCACCCTCACACACAAATATTTAATGCAACCACTTGTATCTTAATTCATTTGTCGCTCGTAACTGTCATTGATTCAGACTGATTGACGATATAGATTTGTAGATGTAAGATTCGGGGCATAATTATAGGGATGTTTAGGCATTAGGTACAAACAATATAAATCAGAGTTGAACAAGAGGTTTGATATATGCTAACGAGTAATTGCACACGGCCTGCCCAATGCGGTCCGACGATACCGATATCGAGGAACAGCGGATCCCACAGCATATCCCAGGTCCTCCGCAGCTGCCGCCGTTAATCAAAGGCCAGAAAGTGGAAAGCGTGAGTGATGTTAATCTTCTCGTTGAATTTGTCAACTTGACGTATCTCTTGTAGAATTCGGCAAAAGAAATGTCATGTTTCCTAATCTTGAGGATTAATAATAAATTGAAATTCGAGGGGCCATACACCGTGACGGTGACCGACGAAATGGTAGCGCAGAGGGAAAGGGAGAATCTGGCGCTGTACAAGGCTTGGGTGCAAGAACAACGCAGGAGAAATCTGCTGCCGCAGGAGGATGCCGACGAGTTTATAGGTGACTTTAAAGACGTCGTCGTACGGAGGAGCTTTGTCCGCAAGATTTTTTGCCTCCTCACGCTGCAATTGATGTTCACCATCCTCGTAATATCCATCTTTATGTTTGTGTAAGTATCTGGCTTTAATATATCTTTTCTTCTCTACTGTGCAGTTTTACTTTTCAGGGATGAAGCGCAGAAGTTTATGATGGTGCACTGGTATCTGTGGATCGTTGCCATGTGAGCTAAGGAAAAGTGAAATAAACTTTTGTAAACTTGAATCTAAAATATTCGCTGGCTCTTTTAGGGTATTCTTCATTGTCGCTTATTGTGCCATAAGCTGCTCGGTGCATGCAAGACGAACACCACCGTTCAACTATATTTGTCTATTTCTGCTGGTACGATTTTCCCTCGCAACAAGGTGATATAGTCTGCCCTGTATAAATTACAATAAATCTGTGTTAAATCGCAGACACTAGCAATGTCGTACCTGGCCGCCTTCGTCTCCGTGTCTTACAGCATCGAGGTGATTCTCATCGTAATGGGTATGACTACCGTCGTCACGATAATCATAGCTCTCGTAGCAACATTCTCCAAGGTAGTTTCTCTACACCTTTATTGAGCGATGGTTTTCTTACAAATATTACGATGAGATTACAGTTTGACTTGACAATGAGGCCGGGCATGCTGATGGTGATTGGGCTGGTTTCGATCGTAGCCATTTTTACGGTGCTGATAATCTTGCTGTTCACTCATATAGTTGTCTTACGCCTGGTAATCGCCATCATTGGCACTCTCTTGTTGTGCATGGTCAGTGTATTTTCCATTCTTTTTTCTTTGGCAAATTCTCACATCTCTAAAACAGCAATTGTTAATTTATGTATTTTTAGTATCTCTACTTTGACGTGCAAACCATTATGGGTGGACGCAGAATAGAATTGAGTCCCGACGAGGTCGTCTTTGCGACTACGCAGATTTACGTCGATATCGTACTGTTGTATCAGTACTTGCTCATGTTCATGGGATTCTTCCACCGCTGAAAGAGAAAGCAAACATACACATTTACATATTTTGTATTGTGTACATATTACATTGTAATATTTATATCAAATATAATCTTGTTGCTGCTCTACCTTTTAATATAATCTGAATTACTCTTTTTCTTGTTACATACAATAGATAAAAATCTTTCTTCTTTCTAAATCTAAATGTCTATAATCCTAAATGAAGGACAGTTTATATATCTTGAAACAGCGCGCGCACGCGCACGATCACATGAATCGCATCATTCACATCCCAGGCAGACACCAGAATCGTGAGCGATGCGAGTTATATGTTTTGAGTGCCGTTCGTCGCAGTTTCGCGAGCAGACTTGGAAAATGACGAGTTTGTCGGTGCGCTGGAGATAAACTGCGATTAATTTTGAAACGTTACCTCGAGTGTGTCACGAGAGAAGAGCAGCGATCCCTTGCCGAGTACGAGAGTAGTTATAACCTCCTTGACTCTTTTCTCTCGACTGCATCTTTTCCTTGCAACTTTTCATGACATTAATCTGAAATAGTTGAAATAGAATTGTATACATTTAGTTGAGCTGTCGAATGATACATGATCGCGTTACGTCAACTATCAAATTCAAAGGTTGATATATACATATATTGACAATTGAACAATTTCTAGTCCGACTTGTTGATTCTTGAGTGAGTCTTGTAGAGGATGGAGAGCGAACGCTTAACCGGCGGCAGGGAGACGAGGAGAGACGAGAGTGCTGAGGAGACTCTAGGTTTGACTACCACGGTAGCCTTGGATACTCTGCACCGCGATGTCGGACGCGTTCTGCAGGAGTACCAAGAGGATCGCAGAAGAAATAAGTAATATCTCGCGTGAGCGACTATTTCGCGGGAGCAACGCTTTTACATCCGACTATTTATATTCAGGAAGTATAGGGCTTGGCTCAAGGACGCTCTGCACCATCGTAGCCAGTATACGACGCTCTGCTGGACCTCTGCGATCGCATTGCTAATAAACGCCGTGATTCTCATCGTCGCGTTCTTCACGCTCAATGAAACATGGTAGCGTTTACTTGCTTTGCTATCTAATAACAATAGCGCTCTGCTAAGTGAAAATATTATTGCAGGTATTCGACACTGCCGTACGAAGGACTGATAGTCTGTTGTCTAGTAGTATTGAATTTTATCCTAGTGGTATCGGATAACAAATTACGACACGAGGAGATTCCTCATAGAGTGAAAACTCTTCTCGGCCAACTCGATGGTACTTGTGTTTAATAAATCCTTTCTCTTCACAATGGCAATACAATTGGTTATACAATTGTGCGCGTATGTTTGAAAATGACAGTTGCGCGCGCCACGTGTCAATGGAAATCCAACAACTATCCGCATCTGTGCAGTCCGCAGTCTCCTTGCCTGACCCTGCAGTGGACGTATCGCGATGGTCAGGTGGTCAACTTGCCGTGGGCTTTGTTAGTGGCCGGTGACATAATCGTGATGAAACCAGGCCAACAAGCACCCGGATATTGCGTGCCGTACAACGTACGTGAGCAGAGATTCTAGAGAGTTGTAGATTAAGGACGTATCCTAATCTCTTTGAACCGCAGGACCCGGAAGCGCCGGTTTTGCACGCGAGAGAGACTTACAGCGCGCCGGTACACAGCGCCAACGAAATCTTCTCGACGCCACAGGCCCGCGCGCCGCTCAAGAGCAAGATCTACAAGCTCCAGGAGACGCCGTATTTGACGAACCTCCGAATGGCGCTGGATCAAGCTCTCGATCGACCGGTCACCTATTACAATCGCAAGCGTCACTTACTCATGATCTGCTGCATCGAACACTTGACCTATCCGATACTCGTGATCGTTATCCTCGTGGTGAATCTGCTGCGTTACCTCTATCTGGCCGACTACTTTGGCGCCGGCCGCTGGAGCGACATGTTTCTGCTGCAACCGATCGCCGTAAGCCTGCCGTTACTGCCGCTGGTCTTCCCCGCCTGCTGGATATTCCTCAACTGCTTCGGCATGGCCCGCTTCAAAGCGTTGTTCAAGCTTTATCTCTCCGCAAAGAAGCTCCAGGTATATACTTGCAGGATGCTAGTTATTTGGATATTTGTGTGAGCAAAGGGTTGATTTAGTTTGTAGATCCTTTCGAAGACGCGGACATGAGTGGCCCCAATCATCCGGACGTGGTGTACAATTGGCTGGAACTCAACGAGTACTTTTTCAATATCCTTTTCGGCAACGAGCACATGATGTCGCGATCGGCGAGTATTTTGCACGTACTGGGCTCTGTGACCGTGAGTACCTAACCACGGAGTAGAATATCACAGACCGAGTGTGATACGGTCATCTATTTAATATATCTTTCTAGGCACTGTGCTGCGTAGATAAGAAGGGAATTCTCTCGTGGCCTAATCCTACGGCGGAGAAAGTATTTTTCCTACGTAACGCCAATATCTTGTCGCCGAGCTCGAGGTAGTCATCCTTATAGTCAATTTCTCCCCTGACAATGAGACCAAGGAATTTAACGTAACTTAAATTTTAACGCGAAATCAATCCGGTGCTATTAGGTATCGATTGCAGTCCCGTTTATGTTGCAGTACCGGTAGCGTGGACAAGACAGCTGACAAGAACCAGGAGTCCGAGGAGACCAAGGTGAATTCCAATAGAACGTCTTACGTACAGCACGGTAAGGAAGGACGGGGAAACTGCGAGAGAGCCGAGTGCGCGACGTAACGACGTCCGATGCTTCGCAGATATGTCGCACTCCACCGCCGAGGTCTTGGATCTCACCCACGATCACGCCCTACCCTTCCGACTGCAGTTCGACGACCTCTCCTGGCGACGGCATCTCAACTCGCTGAAGCCGCTCGGCCTGGCGATCCTCCTCAATACGTGCAACATGGATACGCAGGAGCACTACATGCAATTCTGCTGCCATGTCACTTGCGAGGCTCTCTACAATGAGAACCTGGTCCCAGTGACCAATAGACGGTATGTCCTTCATCTTTCTTTCTCTCCCTCTCTTACCATCTTAATCGGTTGCCGGAACAAAAAGTTCACCTTCGAAATCATTGAAAAGTAACGTTTATTCAGCAGATGTCTGTGCGAACTGGCCAAGCAAATCGGCTTCCAGGACCACGCGCAAAAGATCTTTCAACTGGAGCAGCAACTGTGTACATTTAGACACGTAGTAAGTATTGGCAAAACAATTTAGGAGAATCCTTTCCCCTCTTCCCAGGCTCGACGATTCACAATGATAATTTCGATAATCAACTAGAGTCTAAGTAAAACTATAAACGCTTTGTTGATAGCAACCGGAGATGGTCAGGCGGGATATTAAGTTCGCGCGTTCGCTGAGCATTGCGACAAAGTTAAAGTTCCCGTTTCCTCATATGGTCGCCGTGGTTGTGAAAGAGCGCAGCGGTGGTGGTCTGCAATTGTTGACGCAAGGAACGGCCGACATAATTCTCGACTCGTGCATCGAATATTGGGACGGTCACGATCTCTGCCCTCTTTCCGCATCGGACAGGTACATTAGTCTCTGAAACAACATGTTTTACGTAAATATTTCCTCTCTTCCCCTTCTGTCACAGAAAAAAGGTGCAGGACTTCTACCAGAGGACGAGCTTGACTTCCTACTGTACCGCATTCGCTTACCGACCACTTACGCGCGCCATTGGCGACAAAATGTCAGAGATATATCTGGAGCTGCCTGCTGATAGTAAACACTTGTACACCCCTCACAGGAGCCCGACCCCCTTGCCATGGGACTTTAGAAACGTTCTCGATCCCAGAGTACGAGGAATACTGGGGCAGTTTCATTCGACAGGTTAATCTATTCGCCAATTCGAAAGGACGGAGCGTCATGGGAAACTATTTAACTTTCATCTTTTTAGCAATTTTCAATCTTGATACTACAAAACACTTTCGTCTAATAGAGACAAATTCAATATTTCAACCGCGAGAAGAAAACGTGGCTTCTTTTTCAGATTCCTTGTTGTGCAACGAAAACAAGGATGATGACGTGAGCGACGTCGAAAGTTGTTTCGAGATGCAGTGCAATCAGGTCTTCATTGGAATGGTGACCATGCAATATCAGGCGCAAACCGACATGGTGCGACACTATGGTCGAGCGTTAATCTCTTCTTCTTCTTTTTTTTTCTCCCCCTTGTAAATGCGGTCATGTTATAATTGCAGGTGCAATTGATCGAGCAACTGGACAGGGCGTGCATTAGATTTGTCCACTTCAGCAAGGAAAACGAGTTGCGCTCGCGCGTTTTCTCGGAGAAAATGGGTCTGGAGAGCGGCTGGAATTGCCACATCTCGTTACTCAGCGAGGGTGCCAGGTAACGTGTACAGAAACACGACGTACCATCGTCAATCTTTCAATGTTTCTTGGATTTCTTGTGGGGCATATTCGCGACCCTCTTAATTTTTAATGAATACATTTCCTTTTTCGATGGAGAGAGAGGATTAAAACTGACAATTTAAAAAATATATTTAAAAGAGACGTTTCTAATTGAAAGGGTTAATTGTAAGATCAGACACGCACGTGAGAAAGCTGCATGCATATTGACATTCTGACAAGACATTAATTCTCTTATTCTCGTTAGAACAAGCTGCCGTGAGACTCGAATGTAAGATGTGTCCATGTGTATTGCAGGAGACAGCAACGGTTGGAGAGATATCCGCATATGCCCCCGTCGTATATGTTTGTCTATATGTTCATATTGATCTGCATGTTTATCGTTGTTACACGCAGAATGTCTCGAGAAATAACATTCAACAAGATCCAGTGTACACTTGATTTCAAAACAAATTAACTCGCATATATCACATAAAGGTTTGTTGGGTTGTGAATGAAATCCGTGTTGAGAAAAACCGCAAGAGAGGCAATTATCGTGAGAAATGCAATAATTAAATAGCTGTTAGATAGCTCCTTGAAAATTCTGAGACTCGAGAATCGAATATGACTGGTTTCTCCGAGACATTCCGCAGTGTCACTAATCTCGAAGATAATGTCGCGATCATTTGGCTGCAGTGTCCTAATACCTAACATATGTATACTAATATTTCATTCTTCATGCAGGACATCGAGTCGCACACAGTTGACACAGTAATTTTACTTCATTATTATCATCACTTGTTCTACGATTTTTCTACTTTGCAGTCAATATTACGTTCCTCAACAAATGTAGAGCAATTTTCATTACTGCAATTGCGAGTCGATGCCCATCGGAGATTTGTTGATGCGAATAGACGCGCGACCAAGATACACACGTCCATATTTTATTGTTACTAACACACACACACATGACAATGTCAGGTCCGAGAGTCCAGTGGGTTGGTGGGTGAGCCAGGCAGCAGCCATGTCCTCACCCACTCCCTCACCCACGGCCCAATCTCATCAGCCTAATTACTCCTGCATGGACGAGGCCAGCCACTTGCTTAGTCGTGTCTTACCTCGGTACGTTACACCGATTACATGCAGAAATAGCTATAAAATGAGAAACTTCCGCTTTGCTTCGAAACAAGCAGAAAACAAGTTAGAATGGCAACGTATTTAACTGTAGAACGTGCAGATACCAATGAAAGTTGCAAAGATTCAGAGAATTTGTAAGAAGGAAAGAAAGAAATTAAGAGCACGCGAAGGAAACGTTCAACGGTTGCGATCGGTCGCGAAAGATGCGCGGCATGATGAGAGAGAGAATTTATCGCGCTTACTTGTCACGGAAGCTTTGTCGTGTTCGTAAAGGACTTTTGCGGCCAACTAACTTTGCGCTAACTCTCTTGGCTTCTTAGCGTTATAGATGTGTTTCTCATCGTCCATCATTATCACATAGCGAAATATCAGCCGATTGGTAATACCCACTAAGAAAGGACATCTCCTGTTTTAGCACCAACTTGAACAACAGCCGAGCGATGAGCATGTCAGCGCCGAGCGCTATCAACACGGACTTCTCAACGGTCAAGTTCGACGATGAGACTACCGAGTGGAACAACACGGGGCCTTCGCAGATCAAGAGCACGATGAGCCATAGGTAGCTGTGACATCCAAAATAATCTAGAATAAAGAGATTTGTAAGATATGGTAAAGTTTGATAATGAGATAACAAACTGTCGAGCAGGGAGCAGGACACGGTGAGGAGCGAGGACAGTGTCCTGGTGCAAAGCGTCGATCTGGGATCAGGCCAAGAGGCTTGGAGATCCTTGAGCTGCCTCACCGACAGCACCGAGCAAAGCGCGCCGGTCAACTTTGATCTGTCAAACAGGGTAGGGCAGAGAGCTTCTTTCGATTAAGCTGAAATGATTTCTGTACGATACACGAGATATTTATTCTGCAAGCACAGGCCAAATTGCCGAGGGGCATAGATAAGATACGTCCGCACATCGAACTGATAGATAACGTGCCACTGCTCGTGTCCCTATTCACCGACTGCAACACCACAGTGACTCGCGAGATGTTGCACATTATGCAGGACTACGGCGAAGTGGTATGCGTGCTCGGATCCTCCGCCAATGCTGAGAACATGCCAATCTTCATGCAGGCTGACGCAGGGTACTTTTAATCCTTGTAATCTCAATCGAATCTTGCAAAATTTTCAACAGAACCTAGAATCTCGCCGATTGACAGTGCTCGAGTCTCTCTAAAGACTTGTAACTCGGTTGTAGAGTTGCCGTGGAGCCTTTGTACCCTCAGGTGTGTCAAAAAGTATCAGTGTTGGTACCCACCGCGGAGACCCAAGGGATTTCTCCCGTCGACCTGAGTAGAGCGCTCAACTCTGTCGCGTGTTCACTGAGCGTGAAACGCGAGGACCCTGTGGCAATCTTTCATCTCATTATGGAGGTACCTTGTATCTTGCGCAAAATTAAGCGAGAAGGTAACGACAAGTACGATAAACGTTCTTTTGCTTCTGTGCCCACGCCCAGGCTCGTCATTATATGAAGAACCTATGGAACTGTATACAATTCTGGCTGTGCTGCTTAGTTACGCTCTCATTTGTGCAAATGCTCTCGGCGTTTCTACTGCTGCCGCCGCTCTTCTCCATCGACCAAGTCCTCTGGCTGTGCTGCTTGATAATTCCCATACTATCGACATCCATGATCGCCACTCCGATAGACCCGACGATAATGCAACGCGCCACCGGGAAGAATCAATGTGTGGTCAACGGAGAGGTGACTATTTATATGAATTTAAACAATCTTTCCAGAGGAAAAGAAATAACGTCGATAAATGCCATTATAGGTCACGCTATTCGTGCTCTGGTGCTACGGTAGCAAGTTCTTGCCGACAGTGATCACGGTGATTCTCTCGCAGTGTCTCTCGTTCTTGACGCTTTGTCCCGTCTATGTGCCACAAAACTCCAAATGTCTGTATATATATCCGGACCCGCGGGACCAGATTTGGGGCGGCTGGGGCAGCAGGCCGATCGTCATTCTGGTCGTGCAGCATTTCGCTCTCACGCTCATAGTCCTGCACTTTGGTAATTTCACCAACCATTTTCTTCCCTCCTGCCTTCAAGTTGATTTTCTAATTTGCCTTAAAAAAATAGCATTGACAAATCTTTTACAAGTTGATATTAATATTAATATACTTTTGTTTTTCTTTCAGTCACGATATCCGTCAGCTTTGTGCACAGGGAATACTCGATATGGAAGAAAAACCCTATGAGTAATTGCACCTGGTTTCTTGGCGTACTTATCGTGTAAGTGACAGATCTAATCGCACAACAGTAGATATGCCGTAAAAGTCCTTTCGAGTCCTCCAACTACAGAACTTAAATTCCGAAACACACCCGTTGCGTTATCGTCGTAGATTATGCGTGCAAGCGGTGTTCTCCGGCGTGGCGTTCCGCAAGTTTTGGCGCGAGGAAAGCAAGAGGATGGAGAACTTGCCGATACAGGTGCCGTTGTTCTTTCTACTCTCCGTTCCGCTGACGTTCGCGGTTAACGAGTTGATCAAGTGGCAAGAGATCAAGTAAGTCTATCTCCTTCTGCGTGCCTTTCGTCATTTAGTCGTTTAGTCACGTGGCGCGTTCGTTGCAATTTCTGAAATGGATTAATGTATCTATTCCCTTCTTTCTCAGAGTGAACGTCAGATACCAGAAGAGGGCGCGTTTAGAATTTGGTACGAAACTGGGAATGAATTCGCCATTTTAATCCAATTCGTACCAATCGATGATGTCTTGGAAATATCAAATGCGTTTTAAAAGATATACGGGTACATCGTTAAGCGTATATGTATATTATTAGTGTGAGTGTGCGCGTGTGTCACATTGAAAGTACTTACAATTCTGTTGCTGCAAACTCGAGAGGTCCAAAGAGCTCGAGGGTTTTTAAGAGTGAGCTTTGTGTACTTATAACGCCGTGTCAAATATTGCCAAACCATTAGTATTTTTCTATAGCGATGTGCACATTTATATTTTACGAACAATGGTCCACGGACGCCGTCGTACGATACATCGTACGAAATCGTACGAACGATAGTGGAATTTCTATCTCATTTTATCAAATCGCTCTGATTAAGACGGTTTTCTGTCAACGACAAGTCACTTACGGAAAACCGCAAGAATCGTCGGGGCGCGTTATGCGCTTTTCTCGCTCTTGAGTCTGTCATAATTCAAGATGTCCCACATAATAGGTGTCGCCTTAGATTTCGCTTTGAAGAAAAAGGAGGGTGATTATCAACGGAAAGGTTTTCTCCTAGTATCCATAGTAGAGCGTGCCTGAGACATCTTGTATTTGACGACTTTAGTATTACGTAGAGTATTTGTACACACGTAAAAAGATGTTCCTCGTTGATAACTTTGACACCCTCGTCAATGTTCGATCTCGCGAGCTCGTTGTAGAATCGCATAATCGAAAAGTCGGACGTTTTTAGCAACGTGGATGCAACGATAGTAATTTATTTGTTGTGATCGTGGATTAGCGAAGAGACTTTAGCGAATTAGATGTACTCTGCGAGATTATAGGTAGCCGCATCAAACGAAATTCCAACTCTAGTAGCAGGAGTCTCGCTGGCACGAGACAGTTCTCTGGTTGTGAGACAGTGCTCGGTCATACTTGCGACTAGGTTTTTTTCATTTCCCGTCGATAAAGTGGAATATGTATATCTTCATTGCAATGTTCAAAACGGCCAAACCTCCATAAACAATTTAATTTCTCCTCTTACGCTATTCTACCACCGTTCGATTCCGACCAACGATACTACGAACATGCACACGCCTACCTATATTGCTCGCTTTTTAAGCTCTCAATTGATGACGCAATTTTCATTCGTTGCACAAGGTATGAACCTGGAGGGGAAATGAAAAATTGTGGTTACTCGATCCTAATACACTTACAATTAGATCCTGTTACACGGGTAGAAATTCAATTCTTTTTTACATTTTCGAAAAATATAATATTCAAGGATGTTTTCTCACAATACAGTAAATTGAAATTATCACAAACGGGCTGCTCGTCTTATTTAAATCTCAAATCGGACACCTATTTTTTTTCTTACCTAAAGGTGCAATTCTACGCACATTAGTTTTTTTTTTCTTTGCGTCGGTTCCAAAATTAATATTGATGGACATACGATTCCACAATTACTTGCCGATGACTGCAACTTGGTTGGAAAAATTATTGGGCAAGATTGGACCAAAATTGCAGAAGCAGGATATTTGGTCCTTCCTTAATTTTTTTACTTGTGTTCTTTTATTCTTTTGCGCCACCTCTTTGATTTCAGTGTCGCTTTGCTATTAGTTGGACAGGTTGGACTGACAATGAGTCGAACTTTGACCGACTTTTCTTCGCGCGCATGAAATTGCACCTTTATATTGCACGGTGATTGAAGCTGAAATGTAAGTAAAAGAGATGAAATGGATCTGATTCTTTGTGTTGTGCGATGATAAGTCGGAGGTTTGACTATCTTCGTTAAACGATATTCCACTCTAGTATAACAGATTTATTTTACTAATAAACTGCCATCGTAGCATGGTGTATCGTCCCGATGTTGTTAGTACTACATTCTAGACTTTTGGTTTTACGTAATAAAATGGATCTTTTTTTTAAGACGAAAATAAAATATTCATTAAACAATATACTCTTGCGATTAATTCACTTTCACCAATGAGCGCTCGTATACCCACAAGTGCTCTATCGACTAGGCATTTTATTATATGATCGGGATATAAATTTATTCGTATGTACAAACGCACATGTCTGTTTCTCGCGGCGTCGCACGATTCTTAATTCTTGCACGGCGCGTAACCAGAAATCGCTGCAGATTGCAACGCAATCACAATCAACGCTAATAGCACGCTACAACACATCGTCGCGGAATACGTCGCCTCGTACAACAATTTCGGTGAGAAGACCGACCACACAAACAGATGGTGACGTTGACTGACGACAACGATCATGTAGACTGTTATCGTCAACAGCCTCCACGCGATGTAAGTCCTACTCGTACGCGCGACAACGTCCATACTACAAACACGAATCGAGTCTGTTAACTGATCGAATGAATCACACGATAAGAATTTCAAAATTTGCGAAGCACTCACCGGTGTGTCTGATGTAGTTGCCGATAGTAAACGAGTAGAAAGTAAGCCAGGACAGGCGCGGAATAAGTATTGACGATTAAATAGGCACCGGTGACGAAAGGCATGTAGGAACGCAGACCGACGTATCCTGCCGCGACGTCTATACTTGCAAGGCTATTGGAGTTTCCCTAAAATATCAATCGTGTGCAGTATAAATGCACGAGATAGATAAACAGTTTTCTCAACGAATTATTATAGATTAATTCTAACAAAAAAGAAACTTTGCATCATTTCTCGCCGAGGAAATTTTGTTAATGTACGATATTTAAATATGGAAGCAAAACATTCTGGATAAGTTGAAATTATACTGCAAAAAAACAATGCTTCAAAGCTTTTCTAAAAGATTTAGAAGAAGGAAACGATTTCAGGTCATCAGTTTTTTTTCTTAGAGCTCCTCTTAAGTTGATGTTAAGATTAATAAAAGTCAAGGATTTCAAAGCCAGATAGAAATAACTTGCCTGATAGAAATAAAATACATTGCCTAGCCAATAATGTAAGAGGATTCCGAGATCGAGTAAATCATTTTCTCTCAATACAGAGTCGAGCGTCGAGCTTGCGACCATCTGCATTGGCAATAAGATTACATTGTACGGTTGGTGCAGCATCGCCGAGATCATCGTCCACGTATTCACAATGAAGAACAGCATCGTGAAACGCCATTTGTCACGCTTAACTATTAGTGTCGCTCGATAGCCGTAGCTTAGCAGAGATAGCGTTACTACTCCCCAAAACATTCGTACCTCGGGTATTCCGCTGCAACAAACGAAAAAGCTCGGTTCTTGAAAAAATTGACATTTACATGGAGCATAAATAATGCAATCGTTTACCTTGACAAGGGACACAATGGAATTTTCACGACGGCATCGTTGGACATGTGACGAATATATATACATGCCGCGATAGCCGTATTAAGGAACAACGATTGCCACCTGTACTCTTTATCCTCGCATTTGTACGCGATCCAGATTAGAAGAACAAGTGCTGAAAATAAATATTACTTGAATTCATTTATATTGAGAAACATAACATATATTTTGTCAACAGCTTTAGACACGTTACCAGTTACAAGTAGGAACGTCATTCCGACTTTGCTGTCATCCTCTCTCAACCAACGAGCTAGATCGGGCAGATGAGCCCACTTGTCGCCGGTGCTGTTTAGCTTTCGCAGAACTCTGTGCCCTATTAGTAGCAACAATAGCTTAGCACAAAGTTGTACGTGGCTCCTAGTATCGCCGCAATTTGGACCCACCCCTGTTCGCACCGTAACGCTCGTAAGATCGCTATTATATATAACCGTACTATTAGATGGCAAATTTGAATTTTATCGTTATTCTATTTTTCATAAATTTACATGTCAATAAATGAATTTTATTAATAAGCACATTATTAGAATTTTCATATTTCTCTAAAATTAATAACGATAACAAAAGTATAAGTAGTCTCCCTCGAAATATATCTACAAGAGTATATGTAATTAATATAATCAATTATTGCTTATTTCACACATTTTATATACATATATAAACTCTCTGAACACACCACTTATACATAATATATAAATACCGATTATGAAATTACCATTAGATAGAAAAAAAAAGATTTTACTCACTATCGATGGTACGCGAGCAATCTCGTGGTATAACGATAGAGAAAGTATGCGATTGTAGTAACCCAGAAGAAGTACCATGTCTGATGCTCCTCCTCAATAAAACTGCTGCTAGCAAGGCTCGCTATGTGCAATAACGCACCGATTTGGAACACTACACGTTCACTCTTTAGTCCCTTCGTAAACTATCGAAAATTAAAATATCATATAATATTCATAAATTCTACAATTCTGAAAATATATAAATAAAAATATATATGCGTATAAATTTTATCTGTAGGAAACAGAAATAATAATAAAAAAACCGCGCGCGCGCACATTCTTGTTTCAATTTAAATGTAGTTATTTCACGTAAGAAATATTTTTGTCTAAATTAATGACACTTTTTATATAGTATCTTCCACTGGAAATAAAATATTGATTCTCACCTCCGTCAGAGATAAAACGCTGTTTGTACAAAGATCACAGTTAATATATAAAATGCCAACGATTACGAGGGACAACAGAGCATCAAATATATTCATGTTCGAGTAGAAAGAAGTGGTGCTTTCAAAACTATAAAGATAATACATTCCTAGACACAAAAGAAATCGCAGCAAGAAAAACGATGCGGTCTTTTTATGCGTAGTCCAAACAGCGGTTCGCACGAAGAACAAGACGACAAGTATCTAAGGAAAGAATAAAATAAGAAATTATCTTCAAGTTTCATAAAAAGGCTATAATTATCTACAAATTTGTATATAACAGATATTTTCGACACGTTAACCTTGATTTGAATGCTCTTTGAATATAATTTTTGAAATATTTGAATCGTTCAAAATTACATCCGTTTGACTCACTTGACACAGAAAGAAGACGGCAACGATCATCGAAGGAAAATCGTACTTGATTATGTTGCTAATTATAGCGTCCTTCATCTCCTCAAGGATCGCGTGATAAGACGAGACGACATTCTCGACCATTCCATGCTGTGTCTCGCTCGCGTTCAACCAAGCGACATGCAGGTTTACAGCGTCCAAATACTTTCGGTATACATCTGGAGAATATGAAATCTTTCCTTATACGATTGCTAATTTTACTTTTGAATACACCTAGAATATCTAAATGTCCTTTAATGTTGCACAAAATGATTCTTAAATCAAATGCTTACACTCAACTTGCGACTCATGATGGGCGAGTTTCTGAAAACGACTAAACACCTGTTTCGAGTTGTAATAAAGAAGGAAGAGCCGTTTAGCGTCGTCGAGATCGTAGATGCTATTGAGAAACACGGAGCCGAGGTTTGTAGAAGGAATAGGTAGTCCGAGAACAGTCGACAAGGTCGCTGCAACGTCGAGTTGCTCGATTTCGATCGATTCACCGTCTTCCCGACGCAAACAGCGAGTTCCTCCTATTGTAATAAACGGCACTGTCGTCTCTTGCGGCGTCGAGCCGCCGTGGCCGCCCGAGTCCTTCATCCCATGATCGCCGCAGACGACGAAAAGCGCAGACGCTCCATCGTTGTTCTAAAAATGCGCGTCCGAATGAACCATACAAGTTTAGTGTGAAAAGAAAAGAGAGATGAATTTTTTACATACTGACCCAATGCTGCACCACTTGGGCTATTTGAGCGACAATCTCGTCCATCTCTCGTAGTTTAGGCTTAATCGAAGCGCCAAACGGGCCTTCAACGTGACCAATGTGATCTAGCCCAAGATAATGAAGAATCATCACAGTCCAGTCATCGTTATTCAACTCGTCTCGTATGTGTCGAGTCACATTATTATCTACCTGTTAAACATTGAATGAGTCTCTGGAAAATAATTTTAATAAAGAGACATTGTGATAATTACCTCTGTGAAGTCGGTAACAAAAAATGACGTAGTACCATCGTAACGATGGAATGTATGGGGAAATAGAGAAAGCCAAGTGTCGTCTCCATAAAATACTAAAGTGTGCCCATGCTTCTTCGCTTGAAGCAACAAACTGTCGCTGTGTAAAGGTTTACTGCCAAAGTTGAGTACTATATCTATAAAGTTTGGCACTGTACCAGTCATCATTGCCTGTATCGTAAGCAAGTAGAGCCTGACACAAACTGGTCTCACAGAGCATAAATGAATTATTAGCAAAATGGTTTACTTTGATTCTAGGCATCGTTACTGTCGGTGACTGCAATTTAGCCTGTAGCAAGCATCCGGCGGAGTTTACCAGTAGAGCATTTGTCAATGGCATGGCAGCTTTTCCTGTCGGTCCCGCGACAAAATCCCATCTTAGTCCGTCGATCACCATGATTATCAATTTTGTTATCATCGGCCTGTACAATGCATATCTCTTTACGCTGGAAAAGTAAATCGATTATACTAATTGTAAGTAAATGAACTGACGTACAAGTAGGGTTAATTTACCTCAAGTTACCGACGTATTCCGGGACATCTGGTCGCGAGGCGATCGCATCGGTACGATGAGCGACAGGGAAGAAACCGTGCAGAAACAAAGCGATGGAAATCGGTGCTATCAACAAGACGTAAAGCAACAATACATTATTTTTCATTTTGAGTCTCTCTCCTCTGGCCGACTAGTTTAAGTGGCAAGTGAGTATCGATATCAAAATTCGATACTCTCACGGTCGATCGATATTAGAATCGTTCCTCGCGCCCGCGAGAGATTTCGAAAACTTGGCTTTCTCTCTAAATTAGTTTGAGTGAAAAAATGTCCAACATTTTGTACCACGTATGTACATGCAATGCCAACAACCTTTCCTGTAACATAATTTACAATATTGTAAATTAAAAGTTCAACTTACGTAGAATCAATAATTATCAATAATTACGTGACAAGAACGTTACGTGTCCTTTTCGAGTGATTATTTAGCGCAAGTAAGGATAGAGGAATCGCGCGCGCGCGCGCGCGCGCGATTGCGGCCACCCCATGTATTGTAAAAGCTCAAACACCGATCAATAAGTAGAGGCGGACTGTTTTGTCAGGCAACGCGGCGCAACGTAAAACGTAACGCTCCGCTACGCGGAGCTTGTTCGCAAGGCGTTCGCGTGTGGATGTGGATGTGGATGAGATGCTTCGGTAATTGCCGAAAGCGTGTCAGCGGCTTTAATCGAAAGTTGAGTGAGTGCTTACGTTGATCGAATGTTGTCTGGGCTCTCCGTTCACCTTTACCTCATTCGTACTTGAAAATGTAATTAATCGTGCCTCTTACTCGATATACGTGGCTGCAGCTAATTTCTCAAGGCAGCTAATTGGAGGATTAAAAGGGAGAAAGAATTTTAGAGCGGCAATGGCATCGCTCGAGGACAGTTGGAAGGAAGCTACGGAGGGCCTGGACGCCGCGGTCTGCGACTCCTGGTTCACGCGCCTGCAAGAGCTCTATTCCGAGGAGAAACGCACGTACCATAATCTCGACTCGCTTAGGGAGAAGCTCAATCACTATTACGAAATCAAAAGCAATCTGAAAAATCCGCGAGCTGTCCTGCTTGCCATATTCTTTCAAAAGTGAGTGGCAAGAAGGGAAGACCTTATACAACTCACTCAATGATATCTTGTTTCAGCTTCGAATATGATCCTAAAGCCTTGGTCTTTAGCGAGGACAAGAATCTCGAGCATTTCAACGCTTTCGCTGACGAGGCCGAAATTCCGTCGGTGAGCGAATATCTTTTCCGTCATGCACTTTAGAGTCGAGTAAAAGCTCCATTTCCCAATTTGATTAAATCGGCGCAGGACGCGGAGCTCAGGGAAGAGACTTGTGCTCTGCTCAAAGTAGCGGCGACTCACAGTACCGAGGCGCACAAGGTAGGTGGTGCCTTTGGCAGCGAGGACGCTCACTACTTTCTCGACCTGGATATGGCGGTACTCGGTTCCCCTCCGGATAGTTACTCCGAGTACAGAGAGCGAATACGCGGGGAATACTCTTTCCTCAGCGAGCCCATGTACACGGCGCTACGGCTCAAGGTAAGTCACAAGCCGCCATTCAACCCTTGAGTATAAACGGCATGCAAGAGGAAAGGATAAAAACTTGTCGAGACGTTTCAGGTGTTGCAGAACTTTCTACAGATCCCAAACATCTTTGCCACCGTACAATTTCGTGACAAGCTGGAGGAGCAGGCGCGTCAGAACATCCAAGCGGAGGTGGAGATGCTGTCTTAGAGACGCAAACGGTGCAAAGAGTTTTAGACGCCTACCTCACACAGACACGCACTCGTCATCGGTTCTGCAGAAACGTTAAATTATTAAACGCGAAATGTGCAAAATGTGAATCTCTTGTGACCGAAGGATGGCTATTAAATTATTCGCTTGGCAGGTTTTCCTAAGCATGTAACAGTCCATATAATTGTTTACGCACAATCGTTAATCACACTGTCCGTTCTGCATAAATATTCTCAGCTGACTTGTTGCAAGTTTTCGTTCAACTTCAATTCGATTAACGACGTTTGAATTGATAAATATACTTGTAATTTGTGTAATGTGTAGACGATGGAAAGATGAAAGAATTATAGATATTATATAATTATATAAATAATGAATATATGTACATATGTGTATTATTTCGAAAACTAGTGATACTTTAGGTTAATATACATATTTTGTCTTTCTTTCTCTTGTGATCTGGCACGTTGAAATTTGGATAATAATGACCGGTTCAGCGTGCCAACTTAGGATTTGTGAATGGAATTGACGTACCGATAAATGTAATGTCAGTATATTTTAGGAGAGCGTATGTTCACTGCGCTATTGTGAAAACAGATGAATTTGCGTTCATGAGAATCTTTCGAAACAGTGGAACGCGATCAGGGTGCGTTACTCGGAAATCTCTGATGAATCTCCAAAGATTTCACACGAATCCGAGAAGATGCTACTTTCTGCATCGCGTTCACATTTTACGCGAGTTAAAAGTCGGTTACCGCCGAGAGAGAGAGATGTTAACAAAAAGAGGGCGTTGTTAAGCGGTAAATTGCTGGTGGAAATATTGCAAATATTAAATATGATGTACAATGAAAATAAAGATGATTATTAAGTACGTCCGTCTGTGTAATA